CTATGTACGACGGTTGGTATTACGATATGACTGAGGAATATAAAGAGGTTATTGCAAAATACGATTTACTAATGGGGAAATCAGCCATATCTAATACAACTATCGTCTTCGATTATTGTCTCACTATGGTGGACTGCATTAACTATGTAAAATCCATTTTCACCTCCAATATGTCTCTCTTCAGCTCTAGTGAGTACACGTATTCTGAGGAAGAAGAATGGTGAATGCGTGTACTTGCCTCCATTTTAACGATTGGAGTGAGTTTGCATATTTATATAGCTTTCTATTGCTTTACTGACTGTATGTCAATCTTCCTTCCTTTTTCTTTTATAAATTGGAGTTTCATATGCTTATCAATTTGTTCTTTTCACATAATTTTATCTTCATCAACTCTTGAATTAAGTGATATTAACCATTACTTTTATCGCTAACTAATGCTAATTTTTATTGTGTGATAGTGTGTCATATTTTAGAGTAATTTTTAATATTTCTTATTAAATAATAACAAAATATCTATCTATAAAAAAATATACAAAAAACATATAAAAAAAATATAAAAAAAAACATATAAAAAAAAAAGAAAACTATGTATTTTATTATTATATCTATTCTATCACTTATAATCATTCTATCAACATAATCTAATTTATTCATTACTAATATCTTTATATTACTATTAATAAGTAAAATTTTTATATGTGTGTATGTGTGCTTATATATGTTACTTTCTTATCTATTACTAATAATAATTGATATAATTTATTATGTAACTAATACAAATATTATTAACAATTAATCACCACAAAATGTTAGCTTTATTGAATAATACATGTATCTTGCACCTTTTAACACAACTTGATGTACTTTTAGCACTTGCATATTTTATTATAACGCACAAATTATTTTAAATTATAATTGCACAATATTTATTAGATTAGTTATTATACTCACTACTTAATGTATTAGTATTAGTTAAATAAAAGTTAAATTGTTCATTTATAAAAATTTTTTAATAAATATAACAAAACAAAAATCTTCAATCAACATTACAATGAAAGTCAACCCTATCATTCAATAACCAGAGTATTAGCATAGTAACTTAAATATTTCGTGCATTATTTTGTCTGCAATCAATAATGTTTTTTACCAAAGAAATACAAAATCCTGTAGCCAGCAATTAAGAAACAATAAATATGCCAAATATAATCAAACATTTATCAACAAATTAATGTCAAAACATAACTATTATAAGAGATATTAAAATATTTATCTCAATAAAAGAAAAACTAAATACAAAATCAAAAAAATGAAAAAGATTCTGCTACACGTGGTATAGCACATACAGATGTATTCGTTAACCAAAAGAAATGATATTCAGTCAACCAATCAGAACATGCGGAATATGAAAATCTTTAATAGTGTACGATAATGTTTGAGTGAACATGTAAATACTCGAGAAAATCATACAAAAAAATTAAAGATGAAGACTTCGAACAAAAACAAAAATATATCACCCATACTGTTATGCTTATATAATATTATTATTTCTTCATTGTATAAAAATAAAAATTCTTATATTTTACATCTTAGACACCAACTCATATATCATTAGTACAGATAACACTAAAGTAAAAAAAAAACACAATCGCAATTTTTATTAAGCATGAGGACATGCTTTCAAAAAAACAGGGGTACATTTTGTAATATTATTTTGATACTTAGTTGAATTTAGACGTCTCGTTGGCGATTGCCAGTGACATGTCGACGCCGCTGAGGCGTATAATAGTTTAATTTTGTTTGTATGGCCCTTGCCGTAAAAAACCATAAATGAGTTCATACAGCTGCACGTACGGATTAGCAATATACAACGTTATACTTATCATTGTTTGTTTACACAAATCAATTCTCGTACAGCGTTGTAAAAGACATCTTTCTTTTTAATTAAATAACGTATATTATCACATAAAATTTTTATTACCATGATTCATTATAACAGACCTAAGAGCCCTCTGGGATCTCATCAGCTTTTGACAATCCGTCGAAGAGCCTCTTCTATTTTTCCACCTCAAGCGTCCAGACTTAAGTGCTCAGCTTCACTCTTTTACTTTGCGGCCTTTTTATTTGTCTTACTTTGTGACTTGGTGTCTTTATTCTTAATATAATTTAATAGTTTAAATTAATGTATATTCATGTTTGAATGACTATCAATTATAACACATGCTTATATAACAAACTGTTTTTCTTCTTATTTAATATATAATAAATCTAAATTACTTCTTCTCCTCTCTACACCGTAAAACAAGATTTGCAGTCAAGATATATCAGGTAAGAGTAGTTTAACACACTAACTACAATTAATAGTAATAACTAATAAAAGACACTCTAAACTTTAATTTATTATCTTCTTCTTTCGCTTAAATATATCTTCGTTCTAACTTCCCATAAATAACGATCACTTCTATTAATTTATTTATATTATCTAACTTCACCATCACTCTCTCACTCTCTCCCCTAGCGCTCTTTTTATTGGTTATTACACGAGCATAGTTGGATCAAGTATATTGATATCTGACAGTGATTAAAATCACTTTTTCAGCTTCGCATGGAAGCTAAAAAAGTGTCAGATGAAAGGAGTATAAAAAAATTATAATATGTATCCATACATTTTTCTAAAAGTTATAGCATTTATAAAGTTAAAAATATAAAAAATAATTTTTTTAATTAACTTTGATGTCTGTTTTCACCGTGAAGACAAAATAAAGTCTGAAATTTTTTTTTTCCATAATAAAGTATATTACATTAGATTTAATTTAAGATATATATAAAAGTGTCATACTTTCCGGAACAATTTCAAAAGTTAAGTTGAAAAAGTTCTACTTGCTATATGCATTATTCAGATTTGAACTCCCCCGTATATAGGGGAATTGTCCGATTTGAAAAACAGTATGTCGAATAAAAGATGTATATAAATACTACTTCTCATGAAAAAATTGTATTGATTCATACATTTTTTAAAAAGTTATAGCTTTTTAAAGAAAAAAATATAAAATCGAGAAATTTTAACACAAAAATAGAATTTGGTAGCCATTTTCACCGTGAAGACAAAATAAAATCCGATATGTTTTTTTTTCATAATAAAGTACATTACATTAGCTTTAATTTAAGATATATATAGTGTCAGACTTTCCGGAACACTTTCAAAAGTTAATTTTTTTTTAAAAAGTTGTCATTTTAAATCCCCCCTGTGTACAGGTAAAGGGTCAGATTTATAAAAAAAATATACCATATGATAAAAGTAAATAATACTTTGTAATTTATTAATTTTTTAACTCTATTTGTGTGTGTTACTATAAGTATAATATTCCAAATATTTTAGTAACATGTTGCTATATAAAACACAAATCTAAAAAAAAAAATAGCTATAAAAGTGTGTCAGATGAAAGAGGTATAAAAAAAATAATATTATTGATCCATAAATTTTTACAAATGTTATAGCAATATAAATTTAATAATATAAAATACAAAATCGAGAATTTTTTTACGGAAATCGTATGTTTTTCTTTAACTTTGATGTCCTTTTTCACCACAAAAACAAGTCCAGCGGTCAAATTTTTTTTTTTCAAAATAAAATATATTACATAAGCTTTAATTTAAGATATATATAAAAGTGTCAGACCTTCCGGAACATTTTCAAAATTTAAGTTAAAAAAATTAATTTTTTGTGAAAAAGTTGTCATTTTAAATCCCCCCTTGTGGGCAGGTTAAGGGTTAAATTTATGAAAAAAATATACCAAATGAAAGGTAATGATATTATGCATCTATATAAAAAAGAATTATATTGATATGTTTATTTTTGAAAAAGTTATGGCACTTTTAAGTAAAAAAAATTGAAAAAATTTCGAAAATTAGCGATTTTTAAATTCGTAATTTTTTTGAAGGTTTCCCCCATTTACGGGGAACGAGGGAATTTTTTTCAATTTTTGAGGGTAATGTCTTCGACTAGATACGATTTGTGATCTTTTGACGTATCATTGAAAGAAATCGGTTCGGTGAGAGCTGAGAAAAAGTGGTAACAGACACAAAAAAAAAAACACATCATAGTAAAACCAATACCTTCTCAGCTTCGCATCGAAGCTAAAATGTAAAATATAATATCAAGAATTTTTTCACAAAAATAGCATATTTTTGCACATGGTAGTCATTTTCACCATGAAGACCAGAAGTCAAATTTTTTTCCTGTGGGCTTGTAAGGGGTCAAATGTTCACAAAAATATATTTAAAGATAGGTAAATACCTAAGGTATCTATAAAAAAAAAATCATAATGATTCGGTCATTTTTAAAAGTCTTAAGTAAAAAAATTTTGAAAATTAGCTATTTAAATATAACTATTATATCTGCTAAGAAAAGAACAATAAGAATAACTTCAATTTAATAAAAGTGGTGTTTGAATAATTTGTTCTAAAAATTGACAAAACCGTCATAATAAACAACATACATTTCATAATGCAATTTATTTACTATACTAATGGGCAATAAATAACCAATAGGAAAATAAGACAGCCCGGAAGGCCTATTAATAGCAAAAATTTTAGTTTATATGTTTAGCGACATATTCAAACAACCTTTTTCAGCAGATGGATAAAATATATTAAATAAGGTGACAAATTCATTGATTAATTCTATGGTCTTATATTTGAAAAAATGAACACTGAAATCAATCGGGTCGGTTAGTGAGATCGTCAAATTCAATTAAAATATATGTTATAGGCAAAATTATTATTCTTTAAAATACTGTTCTCGGGGATATATTCCTGGTAAATATTTTCCGAATTAATAGAGTTCTGAAAAATATTTTTCCTATCATTAAATATTCTTATTATATAGTGTTCCATGATAAACTAATAATTTAATTCCTGATAAGTATTTTACTAAATTGTATAGCCCTCGGATCTTATCTATACTGTGATAACGTGTTAAAAAAATAAATGTAAATTTTTAATGTTTTTTGTTGTCTAAACAATAAAATTGTATTATTTTTTTGTGTAAATCTAAATTATTTTAAGATTTTTTATTCTATTAAAGTATAATAATTCAGTAAAATACATTAATTATTGTCTTAATTTTAACTATTATATTTTAAATTTCACTGAAGTTGAATTCAATTACATTAATAAGTTTTAGTCATTTCAAAATGACAATTTATAATATTTATATATTTGATCGATTGGGTACATTATTATATTACATGGAATGGAACAGACAAAAACAATCAGGGATGAGTAAAGAAGAAGTAATGTTTATAAATAAAACTGTNCATGGAATGGAACAGACAAAAACAATCAGGGATGAGTAAAGAAGAAGTAATGTTTATAAATAAAACTGTTTTCTATTTTAACAACTATAATTATTTTTTTTATAGGAAGCTAAATTAATGTATGGAATGCTTTTCTCAATTAAATCATTTGTATCTAAAATATCACCACATGATCCTAAGCAGGGACTTTTATGTTACAAAACCAACAAATATGCTCTGCATTATTATGAATCATTGACTGGCATAAAGTTTATTTTGAATACTGACATTTCAGTTAAAAATGTCAGAGATTTGTTACAACAGTTGTATAAAGATGTAAGAGAAATGAATATATATATTCTATAGTACAGTTTATCACTTATGTTAATTTAAATATTCAAATATATTATTATATTTATATATTCAGTTATTTTTTTATCAGTTCATTATAAGTCTAAATCTTAATTTAAAATAATTTAGGAGAACTTGTTAATATATTTTAGGCATTCCAATAATGACTTCTTAGAGCTTTTCTAAAAATCCAAGTAGAAAACACCATAAGAACTCTTATTCAAAAAACATTGAGACACTTTCACTTTTGGCAAGGATATCTTTGACATTTTTAATGTTACATATTAATATTTATAATTATTTTAAATATAATTGATTAATATTGAATTTGAACTTGGCTATATAAAAAACAAAGTTTTTTAACTTAGTATTAAACTGCTGACGTACTAAAACAAAAAAATTAACAATTATATTAACCCAAATAGTTGTCACGGGGACCCTCCCTCTTCCTTTCTAATAACCCTAAGAATATTGTATTCAAGAGGAGCTAAACAAGCTAATCTAATTCGCTGAGATTTTATTTTTATTAAAAAAAATTTGATTTATAAAAAACTAATTGTTTCAGATTTTTGTTGAATATGTGGTAAAGAATACAGAGTGTGAAATGGGACAACCTATAGTTAGTGAATTATTTCAAAATAAGCTCGATCAATTCATAAAACAACAGCAAAAAATTCTTCAATAGCATTAATTATGTTCAACTATCTATTGAGTAAAGTTTTTGGGAATTTTATTTTTCATTCGATGGTCTCACTGGAATTGTAATTATCCCCTCTACTTAATTTCTGTAAATTCGTAGTATCCAACAAATATTTAAATTCAAAATTATATTTTTTATGATTGTTTACAACTTACATTAAAAAAATATATACATGTATAAAATATTTATAAAGTAATAATAATTATTCATTACTGTTTAAAGTATAATATATGAGCACAATGTATTGAAATGTACTTCCTGATGTTTATCATAAAATTACCATGGCAATATTAGTTTATTAAAAAGTTATATATAATTTAAAATTTTAATATTTGTAAATATGAGTTTATATTTTGATTTCAAAATAAAGACGAATCCTATTAATGACGTATCTGGTATAGTTTATCATAATCAACTTAGTTTATTAGGAGTAATATCTTATTCTTCAGAGAAACAATGTCATCTTTTAATTTGTGATGAAATTGTGAGTCTATTATATATTTGATTACAATTAAGCTATTCATGAGCATTTTTTATCTAATTATATTTAATTTTTTGTTAGGGAGATGAACTCTTCTCATGTTACATTCCAAATTTTTGTCGTGCTATTGCATATTCTTGGCATCCTACCCAACGTACATTAGCAATTGGTTCAGAAGGTGGAGAAATATGTTTGTGGAATGGTGGTTCAATAAAAGTTCTTGAATCAATTCATACAGAATCATTAGCATTTATGGTGTGGTCACCACTAGGGGGTTGTTTAGTTAGTGGCGACCAAGTAAATATTTCATTGATTAGATTACTACTCATTATACGAAAAAGACTAAGACTTAATTTATCAAAACAGACAGGCATTGTAGTAGGATGGAAATCTGATTGTAGAGGTTTACTTCAATTGAAATATAAAATAAACTTGCATAATATTCTAACAAAAGCAATTTCATTTCGATGTGGGAAACCTGCTACTGATATTTCTAATTTGGCTAAGTTGGCTGTTGCTGGTGATCAAAATGCTTTAGATATATTTAGTTCCTGGCGCCCAAAAACTACATCACATACTCAGACTGTAACATCAGACAACTTAACTTTTTATTGTACTTCAGCTACAGGTTAATTGACATAAATTATTTTTACAAAAGTTTATTAAACTAATATAATGAATTTAAAGTAATATTGGTCTTATTTTGTTGAATAAGAAATTAATTCCCACTACGATTTAAATAAGGATATGTAGTGTGGGTGAATATAGCCTATAATAATGTATTTTTATAATGCATACTTTGTCTTAAATAGTATGTAGTCTATTTAGTAGATGTACTATTACTTAATGCACTAAAATTTTTTATTAATCTATCAAAATTGTTGAAAAAAAGGCCAAAAAAGCTATTTCAAAAAAATAAAAACATTTTTTTCTTATTAGAGACAAATAATAAACAATATAGTTTTAAAGTAGTCTAACAATGTAAAAATAGTTTTAAAAAAAGATAATAGCAAAATGATTATTAGATCAAAAGTTATAAGAGTTTTACCTCTGGTGCTTGAAAATGTAGCCGAGATAAAAAATGTATAGCATACAAATGAGGTAAGTGGTAATTTTGGTAAAAATTAATAGAATATAAAGTAAACATAAAAACAGATATAAATATATCATATGTGTAATAGATACATGTATAAATATTTTTCTTCTTACTTTTTTTATAACCCATTCAAGGTGATCGCGGCCTTTTCTAAGAAAAAGTTTCATAACCGTGTATACTCTGGGATGAGTGGTTAATCCATTGCCCTAAAGAGGGATGGAAACTCTAATGACTAAACTGATGACTAGCAAGTCATCAACTCGCAATGACTAACAAACGGGTTGGCCGGTGAAAATTATCGATCATGAGACAGTATGCATCAAGGCACTGCTCGTTACTGACTTAATCACATCGTCCCATCTTAAATATTAATATTTAAGTGGTATTTTTCTCTAAAACTATTTGAAGTTAATAAAACATTTTATAATTAATATTTAGGAGTCGGAGTAGTTCAGAGAAATAAGTGTAAAATTATTTAATGCAACTTTTCTTTGTATATTTTTGATATTATGTAGAACTTTTATCTATTTAGGTCATATATATTATATTGAGGAAAATGGAGAATTAAACAAAGTTTATTCATCAAATTCACCTATTTTGAAAATTTTGTGTCATGAATTAAAAGATATTTGTGTTATAGTTTGTGATGATCATACTTTGAGTCATCAAATATGTCATAAGGATGGTTCATTAACTGAAGTATCAAAAGTACTTAATTTTAATTATTTTTGTGTAATAACTTAATAGTATTTTAACTTCGCTGTGAAGCAGAAAAAGTATTATCTTTAACATGATATTTTTTTATTTTTCATATTATTATTAGATAAAGCTAAACGGAATCACAAATGATTCTTGTGTAATTTGGGCAGGGCCATCATTATTGGCTTGTACTACAAATGATCTATCAATTCGCTTTTGGGATATTGAATCAGGAAATAGTTACAATTTAAATGCCTTTCCAATATTGAATAGTTCAATACCTAAACAGACATTTACATCAATCATTTATTCTAAAGAAAAAGGTAGTATATAATTTGTCAACCTTTTTTTTACTATAATATTTAAAGTTTTAAAACATTTTTAGGTTTGTGTGCTGCTACAAATTTTGGAAATATAATCATTTGGCGATTTAATGAACAAACTGAAGATGAGTGGAATATCCAGGGTTCTTGTAAAATAAATGATAAAATAAAATATTGTGTTTGGGGCCTATCAAATGTAGCAATATTGGCTTTTAATAATATATATATATTGTGTGAACACGAACTTCTAGCAGTTTATTACAATCAAGTTGCTATTACTCAAACATCTGCTACTAATTTGACTGTTTATAATTTTACAACATATGATTCCTTTCATTTTGATAGTAAAATTCAAGTTTTTGGGATTGCACTTACATATGAATATGTTACATTATGGAATGGTAAACATTTAATTATATTATTATATAAATATACAGTTCTATTCTTATACTTTTGAATATTTAGGTAAAATAGTTCAGGTTTATAATATAAAATCTAAAGAACATCATGCATTAGTTGGTACTTTTGCTTGTGATGTTCAAGAAATTAACATATATGATAGAATTTTAATTGTTGCTGAAAATGATGGTAAATTGCAAATTAGAACATTTCAAGGTACAATCAAACAAACATTGTCTATAGATGCACCAACGTTATGCATGGCATTGAACAATTCTTATTTAGCAGTTATAACTATTTCTGGGGTTATTCATGTTTGGGACTTAAATAGAAGGTAATTTATGTAGATTAAATTATTTGATTACTATAAGTGATCAAAATTTTTGATAGGGAAGCAAAATCTATTTGTCATCCTAAAGATATTATTTCTAACATGAATAATTTTGGAGAAGCAATTCAGTTGCGTATTAATAGTAATGGTTCAAAGATATCATTTACTGCTGCCAATCAAAGTTTTATTCCTATGCCATGTTTATATATTTGGGATCGTAAATTAGATTTGATAATAGAAAAAAATTTTGAGAACAAAAATAAGTGAGTATTGAAATTGTTGTAGTAAAAAAAAACTTGCAAGGTTTGGGATTTAATTTAATTTATATATTTAGTATTGTTAAATTGGTCAACTTAGTATGATGTGTTAAACTTTGAGTTGTTAATTATTTTTCTATTTTCATCCCTTAATTTTTGTCAACACATTTTTTTATTCCACGGCTGAAATGAAAATTATTCGCCTCTCCCATAACTTGGTACGAACTTGTTCCAATGCGGAAGAAACTTCACGCGTACTACCTATCAATTGTAAATTAAATTTTAGCTTCGAAGCTGATAAAGTATTAATTTTACTATGATGTGTTTTTTTTGTGTCTGTTACCGTTTTTTCTCAGCTATCACTGAACCGATTTCTTTCAACGGTACGTCAAAAGGTCATAAATCGTATCTAGTCGAAGATATTATTCTCAAAAATTGACAAAATTTCCCTCGTTTCCTGTAAATGGGGGAAACCACCAAAAATATTACAAATTTAAAAATCGATAAATTTTGTCATTTTTTTCACTTTTTCNTCCAAAAAAATTACAAATTTAAAAATCGCTAATTTTCGAAATTTTTTCACTTTTTTTTCTTAAAACTTCCATAACTTTTTCAAAAATCAACAAATCAACATAATTTTTTTTTATACTAAAACCTTAGATATTTTCCTTTTATTTGATATCATTTTTTGAAAATCTATCACTTAACCTGCTCATTGGGGGGGATTTAAAATAGCAACTTTTTTACAAAAATTAACTTTTTCAACTTAATTTTTGAAAATGTTCCTGAAATGCTGCGTCCTTCAAACATATATCAAATTAAAGCTTATTTTATGTACTATAAAATGAAAAAAAAAATTTGTCCCGACACTTTATCTTCTACATTTAAACGGCTGCCGTAGTTAAAAAAACACTATTTTATGATAGTTTTTGTATAGTGATCTTAATCATTGTCACATATCATTATACTTGACCTAACTATGCCACGTTCCCACTGTGCCGCGACCCCACTGTACTGGGGTTTTTTTCTTGTCTTAATAATTGTTTTTTCTCTCTTGTTCCTTTATTGTCAGGTGGGTTTTCACTTCGAGTTTTGTCCGCTATTCAATTAATTGTTAAATATGTAAATATCTTTAATATTCATATATATATTATTTTTTTACTTATAATAATTCTCCCTAGCTTTAAGGTATTTACTCTCTTTGGCATACTAATGTGTGTCAATCACTGATGACATCTATTATAATATATTTTATTTTATTTACAAGGTATAAGCGTATTATAGTCTGCAACAACTTTTTACATTTTAATATATATCAAATATTATAATTTGACATATCTGTCACCCACCACAATGTCCGCGACTGTAAATCCGTTTGCCACTCTCCCGGTCTTTTATTAGTCTGACGTACGACTCCGAGATAACACATACATTGATGTGCATATACGTAACTGTCGGACTAGATCATGCGTAGTCCGGCAGTGGGTTAAATTTATTTGAAGGAATCTCATCCACTGTTAGGCTGCACTCCAGACGCCTCAATGATCACGTGGATCAGTGAGGTGATCGCCACCTCTGCCGTTGGTAAATTGAGCGCTATACCTTTTTCGCCTTTCTTTACCTGGAGGACCTAGGCAGTCTTTCAACAAGTGGCACGAATTATAATCCCTGAAGTAGGCACCTTTGTGGTCCGGACTCTTACAGGCGACCACAATGCGCCCTTGCTTCAGGCATCTATACTACTAGGGACTTTTGTCCTTAAAGGATTATCAGTCTAAAGTCGTTCACCCTACCCTTACCCAAGTGAGGGTTGTTTCTTTTTCTTCCCTTTATTCCCCCATTTTTTTTTTAACCGAGTTTTAACCTACGGACTCTGAAGAAACCGCGACTAGTCCACCACCTCCCTCGCAGTAATACTCCGTCTGAGAGAAACTCTCCTTAGTCAGAGGCTTTCCAGCGACCACTAGCTGCGATTTCGGAGTATGCGTCAGTTGAAAATCGGCTAAGTAGTAGACGTTGAGGATAAGCTCTATGGCGTCCCTTTCAGTGCAGACTTTAATTCCTGCTCAAAGCCCTGGGGATATCCGTTGGTGATGGTGGCTAAGAGGTGACATCAAAAGTGACGACATTAAAATCCATCAGAGGAGACATCTACTTTCTCTTCGTCATCATCACCTCGACCTCCTCATTGGGGGGGGTCAATCGTTCTTCGGTGTGCTTATTACAAGCTCCGGGGGAGTGCTTACTCTTTTAGGCAGTTTGACCTTCTTGCTCCACTTCCTGGATACCTGTATAAGTTTATTCAATAAACTGGGACTAGTGCCAGAAGCCCTCCTATTTCTTACTCTTGGAGCCAACCGTAACTGGGGTTCCCCAGCTACTTTCATTTCCAACTCCTCCTCACCATCCACGAAAATTTTGCTATTAGTTTAATTCATAGGAACCCCACGAAAAGTGCAAGAGTATATAATACCCATACGGCAGTGCACCGTATCGTGTGGGGGCTTATTGCTAAATAGATGCCGTAAGACAAACTATTTCTCTGGCTAGCATGTACAAATTATCGATCTCGGCCACTGAGGCATAAGAGTCGCAGAGGTTGTTTCGATAAATATGTAACCCTTTTCAGTGTCACTCTTAAGTAAGCCTCAATTACGATCCTAAGGGGTTAAATCGCTATTCTCAAGTAGGTGTCCTCATGCCTACCGACACAACCGGCTCATAGACATTGTAGCGAAACGGGGATTATATTTAAGACAGTATTTAATATTTAATTGGTTTGGTGTCCAGATTCTACCATGGATGTGGGTACTGGGGGATTGAATCTCTCTATCACTCTATGTTCTAATACTGTCTAAATCCCCCATAAAAATTTCTAAATACGCCACTGTACTGAAATATTTCATTCTTAATCTAACTATATAGAATGACTTATAAATTTATAGTTTTGTTTTATTTTTAGTAAATTTAATGACACTCAATTTATTGTATCACATCATTGGGATGTCAATGAGCCACACCTTTTGTTTTGTGAAGCACGAACATTCAGAAAATTAGAAAAAAAAAAAATTGATACAACTACATATAATTCAATTTCAAAAGAAAGACTCAATAAATTAACTTATTCTTCAGTAAAAAAAAAAAAAAAAAAGTACCATTTAAAATTATTTTGATACAGCTATAAAAATTTTTAGATAATTTTAAGTATGTTTTATATTGAGCATAAAGGTGTTATTATGCAAGATATTATAACACATACAAACAATTTATATTCACTCATTGGATTAGACACACCACATTACTTCGTACTTACAAAACAAAAATCTGATGTAATGAACAAAATATTTATATTATATTAATTTATTATGAATATTAATATTTTTATTTTCAGAGTTTAAAAGTTGACTGTTTATTAATGAAAGAATTTGAAGGTATCGATAGTTTGACTGAAGATATTCGTAAAGCTATAATGAATTTTAGTTATAACTTATGTCTTGGTGACATAGATCTTGCATTTGATTTTATAAGCAATATAAACAAGTAAATAAAAATATGTTAGTATGTATAATTATAAGTCATGTTTTAAAAACTTTGTAGGAAAGAATATTTCAAAGTTAGATAAAAATATTAGATCCCTGATTTCTTTATTTTTTGTTAAAAAAAAAACAATTTTTGTAAACAACATTCATATATTATTTATATAATAGTATAAAGAAAAATACACTTAGCTGATATAATTACTTAGCATGTTGCAGTTTTCAAATTTTTTTAAATTAAGTGTCATAAATTTGAGAAAAATACTTTTAAAGGTCTATTAACTTTTATGGTTAGGTTTCATAAATTATTGGCATTTAATGACTTAAGGTCTGAAATATTTACTATATCTATTAAAAAACATTTTTGAGGTTTACATATACTGAGTAAAACACACAACACATAACATTTTGATTCAATAATCATTTTAATGCAATTTTTTTTTTTTTAATTTAGACATTTTTAGACTACGTTAAAATCATATTTTGTACTATTTATTTGTAATAATAAAAAAATAATTTTTTTTTTTTCAGAATAGCTATTTTTTAGCTCATTTTTATAAAACAATTTGATGAGCCTATAACAAATTAAAAATAAATACTTTTTGAGTAAAGTATTTTATTAATACAAAGAATGGATATGTAGTGTGATTAAGTATAGCTTGTAAAAGTGTATATTTATAACATATTTACCAACGTGCTACATATCCACTCTATTTGTTAAATTATTTGTAACTCAATAAGTACTTATCCTAAAATTGTTATCAACACAAAGAAATTTTCTAAAAATTCACTATTTTGAAATTTTGAAAAAATTAAAAGAAACATTTTTTTTATAAATATATAATAAAAAATATGCTTTTAAAATAATTATCAAAATGATTATTGAATAAAAAGTTTTAAGAGTTGTTGGCTAGATCTGTTCAACCTATATGAGGCAGTTCTTAGAGATCAATGTAACAAAAAATTATTTCAAGAGAATTTAATTTAAATATTGAGAAATTATGTCTTTATAAAACAATTAGTTTAGGCAATTGATGATAAATAGCAATTTATTTTGAAAATTTCACTGCAATTTTTAATTTAATTAAAAGAATAGTTATCTTATCTTTTAACTTTGTAGTTATATAATTTTTCCCCAAAATGTCATTCTGACCCCTCCAGCTTTGGATGTCTATATTTTTTTTATTTTAAATGTTCCTTTTACAAGTGCTTAAAAAACAACCATTGGAACCGCCCAAATAAACTCATAACTTGATCTATTGTTATTTGGTAATGGAATCACTCAATATATCCAATATTTTTTGAACTTGACTTAAGTAATGATTTAACAATATTTTATTATGAAGTGAAATAATTAATATCTTCCCAAATTAGTGCTGAAATATGGACAAGTCTTGCTAAAATGTGTGTGAAAACTAAGCGCATAGATGTTGCTGAAATATGTCTAGGTCATATGAAAGATTGTAGAGGTATTGCTATTATACGATCAATGTCATCAGAAAAAGAACTTGAAACTAAAGTGGCTGCTCTAGCAATGCATTTAGGAATGAATGTAAGTGTGTATATTTCTACTTACTTGTAAATTATATCTGAGTAAGAAATGTAATATATTTTGTAAGGATGAAGCTGAAGAATTGTTGAAGACTTGTCATCGTTATGATCTGCTGAACAAATTTTATAGATCATGTAATCAAATATCTGCCTCATTGAGTGTAGCTGAAACTAAGGATCGAATACATCTTAGAAATACTTACTACCATGTTGGACGTCATTTAGAAATTCAAGGAGATATAACTAGTGCTGCTAATATGTATTGTAAGGCAGAAACTCAAAGTTATGATATACCAAGGATGTTGCAAAATGATCTTGTTAGCCTGGAAAACTATATAAAAAAAAAACAAAGCCCGTAATATTAGTAGAATTATTGAACAAAGGAGCTGAAATTAATGGAAAAAATTAATTTTAGATTATTATTAAAATGGTGGGCTCAATATTTAGAAGGAAACAATGATATGGAGGGAGCAATTCAATATTACAAACAGGCTGGTGATGATTTATCTACTGTACGCATACTTTGTTATTTAGGAAATTTAGAACAAGCAGCTCAAATTTGTATGAACTCTACTGATATGGCAGCATCATGTCATCTTGCCAGATCTTATGAAGTACAAGGCTTACATGAAGAAGCTGTAAAATTATATGTTAATGCTAGAGCCTATATAAATGCAATACGACTATGCAAGGTAATTGAATAATTTACTGATTTATAGTATTCTATTTATTCACTCCTTCTTATATATGTTCCAAGAGTACTATATTTCTTTGGATTTTAAGTTTTTGTAATACGCTTTACAATAAAAGATTTTTTCAAGTCATTATATTTTGATAAAATAAAATAAAGAATTACTCTGATAACCCTGTCAATGATCCTGGTTCAAAATAGAAGTTTTCAGAAACATTGTTAAAAATCTCACCACTATGTTCTGATACCTATGCCAACATTACTGTGTTAAATTTTTTAATGTTACTCTGTGCTTTAAAACTAGATTTTTAGTCACATGATTGATGGTTAGTATCTTTACTTGCTATTAAATTAGAATAGTAATGTCCCTAATACTTTATACTTGTAGATTTTGAGTCTATATTAGTATTGTTACTGATTCTGTTTGAAATACAGATGATTGATATGCTTAAAATATGAGATTTAATTTCCCTTTCTTAGCACTTGCTAAGAAAGGGATGCTACAGTATTGTACTGTATTTTAAGAAGTGAAATAAATAATACAATTTTCTGCTTAATATTTTTATATAAAAGTTTAATTATGTACATTTTAATAATTTGTTAAAATGTATTTTATAGGAACAATATTTTGATGAAAACTTATGGAATATTGCTTTATTGGCAGGAAGTAAGGAAAAAATAGATGTAGCACAGTATTTTGAACTAATTTCTCCAGATAAATCTATTATTTTGTATCATCAAGCTGGATGTTTACACAAAGCTATTGATTTAGCTTTTAAGTGTGTTACTTTTGAATTAATAACTAATAAATAGGTCAATCTATTTATAATCAACAAGTCATATGACCTTTGGTTTTTTTTTGTAATTCATACGATATCAATATTGTATCTAAAATAATCACAAAAAAAATATTTTCATATTCATTTAACTAAATTTATATTTAAAAAAAAAAATCATCATTACATATAACTTTAAGATAGATGTTATTCAAATCACATGGTACAATTTATATAAAATTTATTATTAACTCCTACTAATAAAATGCATATCTTAAAATATTAATTTTTTTATCACAATATACAAACAAAATCGATATCAAAAATTTGTCTAAATATCAATATTGTTGTCCATCTCAAACTATTTCTTCAACTTTGAATGATAAATCTTCTTAAGTATTAAAAACTATCTTAAATATTACCTAATTATTTTTAGCATGTGCATTAATATGTGATATTTTTTCAGAATTTTAAATATTTTTTTGTTGCAATAATTTAAAGTTTGAATAAAAGTATTAGTAAAAACTAGAAATTACCAAATCAATTTAAAAGAAAGTTATAATATTTTGAATGTTATCATATCATTACATGTTTTATACCATCCCATAACTTTGCAACTATTCAATCAAAAATTTTTTATATCATAGTTTAGGCACAAAAAAAAAGTAAAAAATTAAACGAAAGAGAAAAAAGCTAAGGTCTTGTTGATATATAAATTTAATGATCCAAAATTTTTTTTTAAGTTTCAAAAAATAATTTTTATTTATTGATTTGTTTTAGATGTCAAGATTTTGATGCCATATCAACTATGTCTCAAGAACTAAATGTAAAAGATGACGCTAATTTACTTGTTAAATGCTCCACATTTTTTATCGATCAAGGACATTATGATAATGCTGTTAATTTATTAGCTATGGCTGACCAAGTAAATAGAAAACTAATTTTCTAATATTTTTAGACTAATTAAATTTTATTATAATTGGTTTTTTTAAATTATTATCTTAATATTTAATTTTTATATAATTTTTATATAATTTTTTATTATTTATTTTATATATTTAAGTATGAAGAAGCAATAGCGCAATGTCAGCAACACAAAGTTAATATTACTGAATCTCTTTGTGAGAGATTAACACCATCAGCAGATCATCCCCAACGTTTAATTATCTTAGAAAAATTGGCTGATTGTGCTTTATTGCAAGCAAATTATCATATGGCTGCCAAAAAATTCACCCAAGCCGGTCATAAGGTTTTATATTTTTGATTATTATCTAAGGTAAACAATTTTACTCTAAAATAGTGTATATTTTATCTTTTCAGATAAAAGCCATGAAAGCGCTATTAAAATCTGGAGACACTGACAAAGTGATATTTTATGCAAATATTTCTCGATTGCCAGAAACGTACATTATGGCTGCTAATTATTTGCAGTCTCTTGATTGGCAAGAGCATCCAGATTTATTGAAAACAATCATTACTTTTTATAATAAAGGAAAAGCATTAGATCTTCTGGCAAATTTTTATGTAGCTTGCGCTCAGGTAAACTTTAGTAATTTATAAAGACTGTTAATAATAATAATAAATGGGTAAAATGGGTTAAAGAAACAGGAATATGAAACAAGGCATATTGTTTAACTCATTTTTAATTTTGAATATTTAATATTTTTTCATATGAAACGTTTGTATTTATATTTATATTAAAAATATTATAATATTTTAATAAGATATTAAGTGTCAACAAAAACTGTCTATATTGATAGTTGATAATCATGATCGAATTCTAAAAATGAGACCATTATGTAACACTCTTCTTTTTCCTCGCCTTAATCCCAACTACTTGGGGTTGTCCAATTTCCTAAGTTTTGTTCAGGACTCCTCATAATTTTTAACAAAAATTTTATGTCAGTTGTCGATCTGATGCAACCTCATTAGTTGACTCTTGCAACTGTCAGAGTGGCTCTGGAAGTATTCTTATTCTCTATCCACAGGGACAACCATTATGTAATTCTATATGTCCTATATTAGGAAGGGAGTAGAATAGGATTTGTAATTACAGATTAGCGAGAATGGTCAGTTCCGATCTGACATAATTACAATCAATAAAGATAAATTAAATTATTTTTCATGTGTAATAAAGTATAACTTATATTATTAATTATAGTATTCATTATTTAATTAATTATACTTGCTCTAAAAACAACGCCATAAAATTTAATATTTTATAACTTTTTTAATAAATATTTTTTTAATTTCTAAAAAAATAATATTTTTTGTGTCATTTATAAATGAGTGTACTTTAACAATTAATCGTATTTTTAGCTGGAAGTTGATGAGTATCGAAATTACAGTAAAGCTGTTGGAGCTTTATCAGAGGCACTTAAAGTATTATCAAAAACCAGTGATCAATATAAATCACTTTCTGAAAATATTGCTAAAAATATTACATTACTTAAAAAGTTTATTGATGTAAAAAAGTATGAATTGTTGTTTATATTTTTAATGAATTAATGGATTTTAATGCTTTTATTTTACTTTTGTACAATTTTTTTTTTTTTCCTCATTAGGCAAATTGAAAAGGGAAATGGCGATTTAGCAATGTCAACTTGTCGTCAAATATTGTCTGCCTCTAGTTTAGATATTATAAGATATGGAGATGTTTATTCAATAATGATTGAATATTATACAGCACAAGATGATAAAAATATGGCTATTCAGTTAGTAAATGAATTTCTGTCTCATACTAAGAAAAATGATAATCTTTTTTATTATATTGATAAAGGTTAGTATTTGATAGTAAAATTTGAGTCTTATAATTATATATTGAAAAAAAAAAATTTTATCACTTTATATTAAGTAGTCAATATTATGGTATATATTTACTTATATATATTTATTATATAGTATATTTTTACTTCAGAAAAGAGTTAATCAGACTGTTTAAATATCTAACATTCTTTTAAAATAACATTATATTATAAAAATAGACATATTACAGAACATTTTTATTTTCTATAGAAATCAAATATTGTTGTTATTTAATATACATTGTTATTTTTAGTTTGTCTTATATTTTTATTTTGCATATTTATAAAATTTTATATATTTGATATTTCCTCCCCTTATATAAGAAAAATCTCAAAAGCGTTTTTTCCAGATTGTTTTTGTAATACTTTTAAATTGAATGCGTTGATTTAAATTAAATGATTGAGTTTATAATTTTAAATTAAATGAAAAATATTGTTGTCAATGATTTTAATTAAGTACTTGAATTTTGAAACATTAACAATGATACTTGACTCTTACCATCTAAATGACAGATTTCTTCTGGTGAAAATAGAAGCAAATCCTACAAACATCGATATTATACAAGTGTACTTCCCTACTTTTAGGAGTATGGATGAAGAATTTGAAGAGACATATGAACAGATTGAAGAACTCATGCAAATAACAGAATGCAACTCAAACGTATTTATCATAGGTGATTTCAACGCCTCAATAAACTCTAGGCATCAGAAGAAGAATAGCATTGGCAAAGCAAGCATTTTAAAACAGCTTCTCACTAATATACATCTGAGTATTAGCATATGTAAGAAATTCGTTAAAACATTTGTCTGGAGTGTGCTTTCATAAGGCAGTGAAACGTGGACAATTGACATGAAAGACAGAAACATTAGTTATGGATATGGAAAAAAATGACAAAGACAAAATGGATAGACAAGAAAAAAAATTAGAAAGTGCTAGACGATGTACGAGAAGAAAGACAGCGAATGAAGGTGAATTAAATCAAGAAAAATAAAGTTAATCGGACTAATCATCAAGCACATTGATTTTATAATCAACATCTTCGAAGGAAAAATAACTGGAAAGAAACCAAGAGGACGCCTAAAGAAACAATATTTTGAAAATATCCTGGAACTCATGAACTGTGCATCTTTTGTTTCTCTGAAGAATTTGACGTCAAACAAAGAGGAGTGGCTCAACAACAAGGCATTGCCTTGATGATGATATTTCAATTGTTATTATTTAAAAAAATTTTCTAAAAATTTGCCCAACAACAATTATAAAATACATTCAAATAACTTATATTATGATTTTAATGTGAAATTATTTATACTTTATAAATTATTATTTATTGTATTTTTTCTTAGGAATATTATTAAAATTAGGATTTGAAAATGAAATTATGTATGAAGGCAAACAAGATAATGAAGAGGAAATTCAAGAAGTTCAATAAATTATTGTTATTTTGTGGTCAAATAATATAATATAAAGTTTATTAAATATATAATTAAGAGTACTAAATATAAGTTTTATTTTAGATTCTCTTTAATTTTTATACATGTTTGTCATAGAAGTAACAAAATGTACAGCTTTATCATTTTTATTATTTCTCTGTAAAATTTACAATATTAAATTATTAAATATTAATTTTATACTATATTTAATTGTTATAATATTTATTCATAAATTATACTTTTAAATCAAAGAACTACTAATCAGGATATAATTAAGGAAATAGGAGTAGATGTTGCTTTTGCAATTATCCACCAATTTCTTGGAATTGTTTAATATTAAAGTTAATTATATCTTAGAAAACAGAATTTTATTATAACTGTTACGTCACTATTTAGGGGTTGAGCCTAAATGCCCGTCGACAGTATTCTAAGGGACCAACGGGGAATAGCTGGCTAGGCTATATCTGCCTTAGGTACTAAAGGTTTCCTATTTAATTTATATACCCTTAGAGGAACTACCAAGGGTCGCACTACAATATATATAACACTTTTGGTTAACAACGATATAAATAAATATTTATTAAGCAATTGAAATATTAAATAGATAATACAACCTGCTGGACACCTAAAGATGATATAATCCAACAGGGAGCTGACGGCGACACATACACACAATATACGAGGTAGAAAAGTGAAGTTAATTATCAGACAAAAGTAGTGATCGCGATGATGGTAAAAGGTCAACTATCGATAGGGATATCTTATTATGGCACATTGGCCGTGAATTGCAAAAGCGTTTGTGTGCAGTCCGCCCTCCTGTTAGTATTGTTGTATGGCACTGTGTTAATTATATATATATATAGAATGTTCAGTAAATAAGGAAACGAATTTCTATTGTACTCATTGTTTGTAACAATTTAACTGTTTCCTAACTTACTGAACACTCTGTATATATGTCTATTAAACGGTACAATGATGTTATGGGAGACAGAGACATGAGCACATGCAAATGTGATCGTATCAATAACATAAATATTTTTTATTAAATATTTTACTTTTTATTAAAAATTTTTAATTTATTTTGTTTGAAATAATAATAACTTTAAAAGAAATATTTGAAACTATAAATATTAATTTAAACAATAATAAAAGCAAAAAATTAAATTACACAATATTTTTAGCTAAGGTATTTTTATACAATTAGGAATTTTTTTCTGGTAATCACTTAATATTTGTAAAACGTGATCATTATAAAATTTAATTTCATAAGAAATCTCATGCAAAATACCAGGTTGTCCTTCCCTCTGACTTATAAAAAATAGTCTATCTTCATCTATTTTTATAAGGCTTAAAGCATTAGTGTGTACCGTATCAAACAAATTATTAAACTTACAACGCACCTTGCCGAACACTTAATTTTACTACTAAGTTAAAAAAAACAATGTTTTCTACAATTATATATTTTATGGTAGTTATTTCGTGGGAATAATTGACAATAAGATAAATATTAGTTTGTAATACTTTTTTAAAAGACATTTTGAAGAACAAAAATTGTGTGCCTTTGTGACTAAAACATATTTAATATAAAACAAGAAACAGCTATAATATAATTAAACATGTCCATAAATTGTCTGTTGAATTCGTACCGCACAATTTATGTCAGTCAGACGAAAATAACACAAATATACATATCTTTAATGACTATATAATTAGTACTAGCTTTAAGCAATACAATAAACCAAAATTGATGCATTGATACGTTAAAATTTAATAATATAATAAATTTAGATAGGTTTGGAATTAATAATTAATTAGCTGGGCATGAAATAATAAATCTAGTGTAATTATCGTACTTAACATAAAAAATTTAGCTTATAGAAATGTTTTTTTAAACGAACAAGCGTTTTCCGAAGAATAAAAGTTATAACGTATTTTTTCATGTTTTTTACTGTATGTAGTGTTTTTGTAAGCTATTTATTAAGAAAACATTATTTAAGTTATTATTTTTTAATTTTTCGTAAAATTTCCTTTACTTGAGTTTTACTCTCATAATTCTAAGTTGAGCAAAACAATGGTTGTGAGACTTATATCAGTTATTTCTATTAAATTTGCTTCTACGGCTGAACTTATTAGGTCCGAAAGTACGGGTTAATCTTAACGGATCGATTCTAAATTTCAAATAGCTCATTTTTATGAGCAAAAAAAAAAAACTAAGGGGTAGCGTTAAAAAAATGGCATTCGATTTTTGAGGGCCATCCCATTGTATACTCAGATGAAGGTCAATAATGGCAGAGTGATGTGTAATAATAAAGATAACTTAAAGCACACTTTGTCTACAGTTTTTATTTGGAAACGTTATTAATCTATGAAATACTGGTGCTAAGTTATTATCGACCATGAATTATATAGTTGGATTCGTTTATTAGTAGAAAATTTTTACTAAGCTTGTCCAGAGACATTCTAAAGGTACCCTGAAAATTTCTTTGAAATCCGTAATTTTCGACCGAGTTATGAGCTTTTACACATTGATGTTGAAAGCTAGGAGAAACCTACTGGAAAATAAATTGCTAGGTAAGAAAAAAACAAAAATATAAAAAATTTATTTGGATAATGTTAACTAGCTAATACAAGTTCTATAGTATTTCATTCTAATTTAATATATCTATTTTTATTTAATATAATATAAAACTCATAATTAAGTCAAAATCATAGTGTCATAATTAAGATTGGTACTTGCATTTATAAAATTTGTTTGGATCCAATAACTTCAAAATACATCACAGTTATATATATATATATATATACACAGTACTACAGGAACATTTTTTTGTTCAAAGAGCAATTGATCACTTACAGTTAATTTTTTAATTAATATACATTGATTAAGGTTAAGAAAAACAAACACGAATATTTATTATTATTATACATTGTATGACTAAGATAAACTTATGAACGCATTAAGTCCCGAACATTAGTATAATATATATATAATAACTTAGAAATTGCTCAAAATAATTGATTAAATTTAATTTAACAAAACTTAATTTAAATATATTAAAGTAATTTTCTATCCAATTGTTCCAGGTATTTATTTTGAAAAATATAGTATCACTAATTATATGTTGTAACCAATTACAATTTATAACCACAGATAGTACATACATTGACATAAGAATTGCAACATTAAAGGCTAGTCAATTATTTTTACGAAATTTTCAAATAATTAACACTAATAAATATAAATTCAGTTTCGCGTCGAAGCTTAAAAGATATTTATGTGGCTCTTTATACATAAGTGTAATCTGAACTAATTGTTTAGGGTATATAACTTAATTTACCACTTCCTTAAAAGTATTTCTCTATAAATTTACATGTAATTTTTATCATTTTGGGGGGGGGGGAGTGATAGAACTAGAGTGATCTAAGACCTATCATATTGTGCCTATGGCTGTAAAGCTTAATAATAAATTAAAAAAATAAAAAGATGTCAATGACTAATCTTTTCCTACCAAACTTTTATAAAAACTAAAAAAAAAATGTATAGCCAACACACATTAGATAATGAGTTATAAAATAATCCTTCGAACCATTGTTCTGAAATTATAAAACTGTAGGAAGTCGTACAATTTAAATAGTAGATATAATGTATGTTGTATAAAAAATATTACAAATTACATAAAAAATAATTAGTATAATAGTAGTTAACATAAACAGCTATTTTCCGACCCTTGTGAATTACCTTCAGTGGCTGCATGATTCTGCAAGTCAACAGCTAAATTATAAGTTAAGGAAGAAACGACCGTAAATTCAAAAAACATAAATTGTTTAAAATTATAAAATATATTTACAATAGTATTAACTACACTACTATTAATATAACTGTTTAATGGAAAATTGTTTACAAAATAATAAAGATAACAAATAATTGTTAGGTATTTGGAATGTCTATTAAGATTGGATAATTTTCAATCATTGTAGAAGAAATTATTTTTAATTAATAAAATTTGGTTACCCAACATTTTTATAAAAATTAATTTCTTATAGTTCTAAATTTTAATACTGGTCATTCCCTTTTATTATGTACTTATTACATATTTTGGATACCAATATAATTTTTTAGTTTCTCCTTAAAGATACATTAACTCAATAGATATAAGTTAGTTTAATCTTTTGAATTATTAACATATAAAGTTGGATGGACTTTGAAAAGTTAAAAATTAATTAATATTACAAATTTAACATGCACAACTCTTCTCTGGATTAGCTGAATCATTGGGTGTGTCTTTAAGAATGACTTCTTGCACTGTAAAACAAGCAAAGTTAAGGAAACAAACATGCCAGAAATTAAAAAAATGCAATTTCAAAAATATTAAAAAAACAATAAAACACAAGCCTCTTCAAATATACATAGAAAATAAATATAAAAGAAAAGAATCAATTAATTCTTTATTTTCATATACTATACTTTATAAAATAAAATCTTTTCTACTTAATTAAAAATAGTTTTTGTATCAGTTAAGTTCTTTAAGGATATATCTTTCCTTTTCTAGAACAAAAAATATTCTCTAAAAGGAGACTTCAACCATGTAAATAACTTATAAAAGATTCGTTTAATTTCTTATTTTAACTGTACTATTTGGTAATAAAATATTACACAATTATTATGAAAACCATTATTGTAATAATAATTATTTCAGTGAACGCTTCTAGAACTATTAAGTTTTTTTAATTTTATTAGAAAATTTTTTTTTGATTTTATAAAACCAGAACTCAGTATTATTTATTACTTAATAAAAACTTCAAAAAAAGGTTATTAAAAAAAGGATACTGTCTTCTGGAGGTCGGTTTTCAGCAACATCCATACCAGGTAAGGCAGCAGCTACTCTTCTAAATAACTAAAAATAAAAATGAGGTTTGTTAATTAAAATGTATATTTTTTTTACTGACTTTTATAATTTAAAGAAAAATACTGACTTGTTTGACATTGTAACCAGCTTTAGCACTAGTTTCAATGAACATAACATTTAACTCTTTGGCTTTTCTTTCACCATCTTCTGCTAAAACTTGCCTTTTATCGGTCAAATCAGTTTTATTACCAACCAACATAATAATTACATCACTACCCCGTTCAGTTCTTACATCATCAATCCACTTAGATGTCTGATGAAAAGAATTAGCATCTAAATCAAAACAAAGTTCTAGAAATTAATTGATTATAAATAATCATTTATGATGGTTAGTTAAGGCTCATTGGATAAAATTGAGTAACAATGATTAATGAAAATTGAAAAGTAAGAAATCATTGCATATTTTCATTTAAGACATTCTTTTTAAGATGATATAACTTCTTTTCTTATCATTGATGAGCGACAATGTTATTTAAAGAAAAAAAGTGTGAATACAAAAAAAAAAAAAATTATAAGCGTTCAAAACAATCAAAAATAGTCTTCATATGTGCCCAATGCAGACTGGTGGTTAATTTAGTATGCGATGTTTAACAGGACAGTTTTTGATAGAGTTTGATCTCCTTAATCTATACTTCATAGTTTTACATATTTTATGATATTAATAACAATGCTACATAAAAAAATGTTTAACTAACAAAGAGTTCGTAAGTTAATTTATTTTTGTATAAGGTTTTTCCTAAAATAATAAACCTTCTTTACATCATAAACATTAATAGATTTTTATTGAATTATCTGTAAATTACAATAAATTTGGAAAAATTATTTACAGTCCCAAAATTTCCTAATTATTATTATTATTATTTAATTCATTAAAAACTAATATTTATAAGACAATAAACTAACTTGTTATATCATAAACAACAACTGCAACTGTAGAGTCTCTAATATAAGAAGGAATAAGACTTCGGAATCTCTCTTGACCAGCTGTATCCCATAATTGTAATCTTACCTATAGAATATTAAAAATATCAGTAACATAATTATTTTATATACGAGATACATATAAAAATATTTATGAAGTATTTTAAATAAAAAAAATTGAGTATATTAGTTATATGGTTTTTTTTTAATGTTCTATTACTCTCTATTCTGGGATAAGTTAAAAATATAGACAATAAATTCATGTTAAGAAAAATCTCAAATTAGATATAATAATAGTTACCTTTTATAATTAAGAAAGTATACATATCTGAATAACAGCTAGATAATAAACTTCTTTTCATAAATGGACAATTTTCTATAAACATTTGTATAATATATCCTGCTTTCGTATATTTATACATCAAGTTATTTAAAAGAAATAATCAAATAAAGAGTGAAAAAAGTAATGTTCAGTTCAAAGATAACAGTAAAAAAATTAGCAATTAAATAAAAATAAAATAATATTTCAAAAATTCATCTGGACAATGTTAGTATTAAAGTGTAGAACATTTGATACAAACCTACTCATGAATTATAGGATTTTAAATAAATAAGCACAAGAAAACACTTACATTAAAGGAAAATTACAAGTAAACTAATCATAACTAACTATATGCTATTTAAAACAAACTAGGCTTTCAATTTTAAACAAAACTTACAGTTCTATCTTCTAGATACATTGTTTTTGATAAAAAATCAATACCAATGGTCGCCTATAATAATTAGAAATTAATTATGTAAAAATTTATAAACACAAAATTGACATTGAAAATTACCTGGTATGTATTATCAAAACTATCATACATAAATCTAGTGATCAGCGACGTTTTACCCACTAAAAGTGTTTATAGTTAATATAACATTTATACCACCAAAATAATTAAATTAACTATCATTGTTTACATACCACTTTGTTCGCCCAAAAATACTAATTTAAATTTTCTTAGAGGATTACCGAAATCTCCAGAGGACGACATACTTTTAATATTAATATTACTATTATTTTAAGTTACGTTTTACTAAAAACAAATAACACACATGATCTAACCACACAACTTACTTTTATATGAAATTAAATATTGATATATATTATAAATGATTAGCAATTATTACTGATACTATAACTAAAAATTATAAATAAAAGTTAATTTAAGTTATAACATACCACTAAACGCCACGTTCAAGTGTAATCACTTATTTATTTGGTAGCCATTTTGATTTGATTACATTACAATATTTGACACAGCAGCTGATTGCTTAATAGTACCAAGGTTCTATCTAAATACTAACTAATTTATCAGATAAAGACATTGACAACTGATTTACTGATCTCAAAATAGATTGTCACCTTTTATTTGTTAAAAAACATAATGGTATATTAAATGTTTAATGATAAAATGGACATGGCTGCCATATATTTCTTATTGAAATATATGAATATTCTTATCATCGATAATCATGACCACCATCATAAAAATCTGATACCTGAAGTTAACCACATACCCATTCACGAAAATTTCTGTTTTGGTCACGTTTAATAATTATCAATAATTCCTTACCTATTTGACGAAGAAGGGGAAACCGGATAATTAGATATCATTTTTGACTTTGAAGGACAAAATTGGTGAAATGAATTAATATTTTGTGTTTTAACGTCTCTTCTAAACATTTAAAAAAACTCTTTTTCTAAAATATAAGATAAGAAATTTATTGAAAATTTTAATAAAAGAATTGGAAAATGTTACTAAATAAATTATGCAAGTTGTCTACGTCTATAAAGGTATGTTTTATAATGAATTTAAATGGACGGATTTAGAATGTTTAATTTTGTATAGCCTTCTATATTACCAAAATACAGTAAGAATTGCAATGGTTATGTATTCTCTATTATCAATCGCCGTTATACAAGTGGCGATTCTGTTGATCTAGTTGTTATTGGCTCAGGACCTGGTGGATATGTGGCTGCTATTAAAGCAGCCCAGTTAGGGTTAAATGTATGTATAAAGTACTCAAGTACTAAGTAAGATAATTATTTATTACTTTATATTAGACTGTCTGTGTTGAAAAAAATTCTACTCTGGGTGGTACATGTTTAAATGTTGGATGTATTCCATCAAAAGCTCTATTAAATAATTCACATTATTATCATATGGCTCATTCTGGAGAATTAAATAGTCGAGGAGTTGAAGGCAAGTTCATTTTTAACTTATTGTGAAGTATTTTTTCTTGTGACAACATAACATATTATTTTCAATCTAGTTGGGAATGTAAAGCTTAATTTAGAAGTATTAATGAAAACTAAAAACAATGCAGTAACTGCTTTAACTGGTGGAATTGCACATTTATTCAAATCAAATAAGATTACTTTAGCAAAAGGTCATGGGAAGATTAAGGATCCTAATACAGTAACAGTACTTAAAGAAGATGGTTCTTCAGATGATATAAGAACTAAAAATATTCTAATAGCTACAGGATCTGAAGTTACACCTTTCCCAGGAATTGAAGTCTGTCAAATAAATTGAAATTTATTTTAATTTTTAGTAAAATATTTTTCATTTTTTTAGATTGATGAAGAAACCGTAGTATCTTCTACAGGAGCTTTAAAACTTTCTAAAGTACCTGAAAAAATGATTGTAATTGGTGCAGGTGTTATAGGACTTGAACTTGTAAGTTTGACTAAAGAATATTGATATTTTTTAGTAGAGATACACTACTTATTACTAGAAATGTCTTGTAGTTAATTGAAAAATGAATTTTTTCTATTTATACTACTCTTAATTAACTACTCGTAATACTTATTTATATAATTATTTTTTATTATTCATGAAGGTTGGGTTGAATTTTTATCTAATTACTTAACTAAGTTTACAATGTCTCTTATCTAAAATTCATCAATTTTTAGTTTAAAAAAATTTTAGAATAAAAAGTGTTTTTAGTTTAATAATTATAAATATTTATTACTTTAATTATTACTTTATTACTAAGTAATGTAAAAAATATGTTTAAGAATATCCATTTTTATTAAATATTAGTTAATTTTATAACTTACACTACTTTGAGACACGTTCATAGAGTTAGTGTACTAGTGCTTTTTTGACATGTTGGCAACACTACCGTGTAGCCTGACTTCCTTTTAAAATGAGTCTGATCCAAGGTTAATGTATTGAGAACTTTTGATGCAGGAGCATCTCTTGCAAAAAAATTTTTATCCAGTCTCCCGCCAAATGCAAACTGTGAAAAACTATCTTATAGTGAAGTTGTTATGAGTACAAGTGGTGTCACAAATTAAAAAATGACAATACTTCTGTTATTGACTATTACAGAAGCAGAAGACCTTTAATTGTAACTTACAAACTTGGAAAAAAAAAAGAAAAAAATGCAATCTTTGATGATTACAGATTGATGTTGGATAAACTATTTGGGATGTTCCAGGTCTTTGTTGCATGAAACAATCATATATACTCTCGAATACCAAGAACTGTCATTAAAATGAATCCTAAAACAGCTGACAGAACAACACTAGTCAAATAGAGTGCAGAGTTTCAAAGAGTTTTTGGAGCGCTAAATACTTGAAAATAATAATATTCTTTACTCCATTGTTTCTAGAAATGAAATTGGGGTTACCCATTATACATATGAAACCAAGAGATAGTCTCAAAAATGGAGTCACCTTTACCAAAACAATCCAAACCATAATTTCAACACAAAAATTGTTTTCTTTTGAAATTAAAATTTATTATCATTAAAAAAATATTTAAATTTATTAACTTAAAAAGCTTTGATACCGGTATATTTTATAAATGTGTGTAGTTATATTATTAATGTAAATGTAACAACAAAAACTTAAAAATTATATAAGTATGTTTACATTATCCAATTTTTATTTTTTCATATTCAGATTCTTTACAATATTTACTAAGAGTAGATGGTATATTTTATATATATATTTTGTTATATAGCTATATATTTTAAAATATAGATAGTTGTCTTTTCGTTTAAATATTATTATTATTATATTTTAATGGGTAAAAATAAAAATTGTTGACCATTTTAGAGATTTTTTACGCTGTAGATGTTTATTGACTAAAAATCAAATCATTATTTAGTTTTAAAAACTATAATATTGTTATTTTTTCATAAAAATTTAGTTATATTGAGATCTTTTAAACATTTACTTCAGTATGTTAAAACTAAAAAGGTTTAAAAAACATGCAAGTCAAATTTTTTTTTTTTACCGTTTGTATTAGGGATCTGTTTGGAGTCGCTTAGGTGCACAAGTAACAGCTGTTGAGTTTATGCCTACAATTGGTGGAATTGGAATTGATAGTGAAATTTCCAAACAATTTCAAAAAATTTTAACTAAACAAGGTTTAGTATTTAAATTAGGTACTAAAGTAATTAATGCAAACAAATCTGATGGAAAGATATTTGTTGATGTTGAAAATGCAAAGGATCCTTCAAAAAAAGAAACCGTAAGATAATTCTATACGTTTTTTTATTCATAAATGTACTATAAATCAAGAGTGTATTTAGACAAAATATCTTTTAGGAGGCTCAAGAAAAAATTGATATTATCTTCTAAAATAGTAATTTTAATCACTTTTCTTCTTAAAGAATCCTAATGGCCTATTTCAGTAGAAAATTAAATTTTCGTTTGAATTCTTTAAATATAACTCATACCACATATTTATTTAATATTTTGCATACTTAATCATTTTTTAATTTTGCAGTTGGGTTGTGATGTCTTACTAGTCAGTGTAGGACGTCGTCCTTATACTTATAACTTAGGATTAGAAGAAAATAATATTGAAAAAGATGCAAAGGGTAGAATACCTGTCAACTCTAGATTTCAAACTGTTGTTCCAAAGTAATCATTTTATTTATTTAATTGCTAAATTAAGACCATATATTTATATAAATATACATATTTTTAGTATTTTTGCCATTGGTGACTGTATACATGGTCCTATGTTGGCACATAAAGCTGAAGATGAAGGCATAGTGTGTGTTGAAGGTATAACTGGTGCTCCTGTTCATATTGATTATAATTGTGTACCTTCAGTTATTTATACTCATCCAGAAGTTGCTTGGGTTGGAAAATCTGAAGAAGATTTAAAAAATGAAGTAAATGTATTTCTTTAATTATATTTGTATCAAAAGTTATTGAACTTCACCTTAACTTAAGTAGAGGCTCAGATATGTGTTAATTCCATTGAAAACACTTATTAATTAATGATACTTTTTAGGGTATTGATTATAAAATTGGCAAATTTCCATTTGCTGCTAATAGTAGAGCTAAAACAAATAATGACACAGATGGCCTTATAAAAGTTTTGGCTGATAAAGCAACTGATAAGTTATTGGGTTGTCATTTGATTGGACCAGTATGTTTTATAGCTCATATTTTATAATTATCCATTAATAAAATAGTAATACATTTTATTTGATACAGGGAGTTGGAGAATTAGTTAATGAAGCTGTTTTAGCTATGGAATATGGTGCTTCTTGTGAAGACATTGCCAGAGTTTGTCATGCACATCCGGTAAATTATTATTTCTTAGCTACGTTGTATCTTTATAATGTATACTTTTCCTTTCAGACATGTTCAGAAGCTTTACGGGAAGCAAATTTAGCAGCATACTTTGGAAAAGCCATAAATTTTGGTTAACTTTGGTGAATAGTTCCCCATCATACAATTATATAAATGTATTTATTATAAGCCTTTCAGAATGAAAGATCTACTGAATATTGTTTTAGTTAATGTTACTCGTTTAATAAAATTTTGGATACATTTTAAAGTTATCATTCTATAATTGCAATAAGAAACATCAACAATCTAAAATTACTTTTGTATTATCAATTTAATGTTACAAAACATTTCTACAAATATTATTACTTTCTTTGAAATAAAGTAAAATTTAACTAGGTACTAAACATATAATATAATTCATTAATGATAATACATTCCCTTTATTAAAAACTATTGAAAATTTTAAACATTCATAAAGGAAAAATTGTTTGATTTAAAAAACTATAATAAATAATCTGTAATTAAATAATTTTTTTTTTTGGATTCTTCAGTGTTAACAAACCTAAATTTTAATTTCTATTTAAACGTAAAACTCCTATTAGCTTCGATGCGAAACTGAAAAGGTATTAATTTTACTATGATGTGTTTTTTTTGTTATGTCTGTTGCTACTTTTTCTCAGCTCTCACTGGACCGATTTCTTTCAATAATACGTCAAAAGATCACAAATCGTATCTAGATGAAGACATTACCCTTAAAAATTGAAAAATTTTCCTTCGTTCCCCTCAAATGGGGGAAATATCCAAAAAAAATTACAAATTTAAAAATCGGTAAATTTTGTAATTTTTTTCACTTTTTTTTCTTAAAACTTCCATAACTTTTTAAAAAATAAACAAATCAACATAATTTTATTTTATACTTAAACCTTAGATATTTCCCTTTTATTTGATATCATTTTTTTGAAAATCTAACGCTTAACCTGCTCATGGGGGGATTTAAAATAGCAACTTTTTACAAAAATTAACTTTTTCAACTTAATTTTTTAAAATGTTCTGGAAATACTGCGGCCTTTAAAGATATATCAAATTAAATCTAATTTTATGTACTATAAAATGAAAAAAAAAAATTTGTCCCGACGACCTATCTTCTATGCGCAAATGGCTACCGTATTCAAAAATATGCTATTTTTCTATTAAAATTCTAGGTTTTGTATTTTATTTTATTTTAAAATATCTTATTAGGAGAATATATTGACTTTCATGAATATTATATAATTTAATTGACATAGAATAAAGTTCATAAAACATAAGAAATTAAACTTATTAAATTTTTTTTACTTTTTTAAAGTCGAAAAAGTAATTTTTAAATTTGAGTTAGCTTAAATAGCCAATTTTTTAGCTTCGATGCGAATTTTTTATATGAAAATACTAATTTTTAATAATAAGTTTTAATATTAAAACTTAGAAGTGATAGAAAAAGTCTAATTGCAGATTTGAAAACATCGCGAAAAGTTGATTGAGAATGGTATATTTTTGTTTCTGATGGAAGTTCCTTGTAGTCCAGTGTATAAAACTTATAACTTTGTTAACTGTTATAACTTTATCAAAAATGACCAAATCAGTATATTTTTTTTTATTTAGATGCATGTCTTTATCTATCATTTGGTTTTTTTTATAATCTATCCCTTTACCTGTCCACAAGAGGGATTCAAAATAATAACTTTTTTTTTTTAGTTAAAGTAAATCATTAAAATTAATTCAGTTCTGGATATTTCAATTGTAAAATCTTTTTAAATACCAAAAATTACTTAGAAATGATATTACGATTCCTATTTAAGTGTTCTATTACGATAAAAATGCAAAAAAATAATGAGTTTTTCTGATAAATATACTGTAAATAGTAATTATAAAATTTCCTGACTGCATATTAATGTTGCATATTTTTGTTACTGATGAAAATTCCTTGTAGTTCAGTGNTGTTACTGATGAAAGTTCCTTGTAGTTCAGTGCATTTATTTATAGTAACAAACAGTTTTTATTGAAATTTATTGTATCAAGCCCTTTAAATTTTTATACACGTAAAAATAAAGCAAAATACAACTTCTTTATTATTTTTATAATTTCTCCGTTTAAATTACAATATTAAATTATTGAATATCAATTTCATACTAAATTTAATAATTATAATTAGTATTTATTCATATATTATATTTTAAAATCAAAGAACTACTAATTAGGATATAATCAAAGAAATAAGAGTTGATGTTGCTTTTGGAATAATTCACCAATTTCTCTAAAGGAAACACTATCTACAGATTTGCATCGAAGCGTTTCTTATGATAGTGATTTCAATCACTGTCAAATATCATCTATACTTGTCCCATCTATGTCTTGTCTACACTGTGCTACCATTTTTTAGTTCAATAATATAATAAAAAAAGAAATGTTCAAAAAATATTATACTTATAACTTTTTTTATTCAATGAATGTTCTGTTAATACTTGCTAAAGTTTAATAATTTTTAACTAATTTTCTATTCATTATTTGTTATTTATCCTACTGTAGGTATCATTTTATGTAGTCGTATGAACAAGTTTTTATTGACAATTATTAATGTATAACAAGAATAAATATTTATGTTTAACTTATGACCCATTGAAAAAGATAATTATTGCTTCCTATATTATGAAAACTAAATTAAAGATAATTTTGTATTTGAATCAAAATTTCTAAATGATTTTAAAATGCAAACAGTCAATTGGATAAAAAAAGTATTAGAACAATATTGTTTGAAAATTTTTTTCTATCATATAATGAAACTAAAAATAATAATTACCAGTGAATACAAAATTCTATTTTTATTATTTCAGATTACACATTGCAGTAATAAAATTCTCTCTAGAAATATAAATAATCATACTAATATTTATGTAATCATTACATGATATACCATTTTATAGTNCCAAATTTCATAAAATTCGGTTCAGTAGTTTCGGCGTCCATCGCGGACAAAAATCTGACATTAGATTTTATATATATAAGATTGCATATTTATATCGGTTATTTTATGTGTGTGAAGTTAGCAATTTTATATAGCAATTCCAAATCAGATATAAAACTCAAATACACCGCTAGAGGGCACCACTTATTTAAAATATACGTTTTATTATAAAGTAGTTTCGAAAAAATTACGAAGGGTATTCTTTTAAAAATTATATTCCAAAAAAAACTTATAAAAATTATAGTAATTTTTATATGGCATTAGTCAAAAATGGTACTCGAGTTTCCAAATAACCCGTTTCAGAGAAATTGCTGGGCAATATCTGAGGTAATAACCCTACATATACTCAGACTTGCGACAGGTTTTTTGTACTTTTGACAAAGTTCCGAGACGAGTCCAGGCAATAATTATACACCAAATTAAAGCTTATAAAATATCCTATCGAATGACATTAGTCAAAAATGGTAAATCCCTTTCAACCATAATTTATTATATAGAAAGCCTAATTTTAAATTCACAATAAAAAAATCGTTCACGCCAAATATGCAGGTGACGAATAATCCTTATCTTAATCACTTACAGGAGTATTACTTTAACGACAAGTCTCTTCTGAGAAATGTTCTAGATGAATATACACAAGGGAAATGCGATCGATGATTCTAAGGATGTTTCCGGTGGCGTTTCTATTTGCGTAATATTTTGGACAATTCAATTCAAAATATATTGTTTCACAATTAATCAACGTGTGAAATCGATTATAATTAGGGTACTTTTTGTTTTAACAATACAACATATTAATAAATTTAATTTCTTCACATAATTGTTGTATTCGTGTATTTTACAATCGAATGAATGCTTAACTTTTTGTCAATAAAGTTGCTCGTCATATTCCAAAATAATATACTGAAAAATTGAACACCTGCAAGATTTTATCTACGAATTCACTAACGATGTTGTAAATTTAGTTTTATTGAGAACCTTCTCAAAAAATAAAGGATAATTCTAAACCTCGTCATTGTATATCTCCCATATAGAGCTCTGCATGGTCCGAATTTTCAAGGACCGGACCGAACCATACAGAAAAACTAATAAAATGACCTGACTGAACTGTTATATGAAATTTAAATTGGACCAGACCGGATAGAAATTTTAAATGGACCGAACCGAACCGGACTATAAAATAAAAAAAAAATCTAGACCGAACCGAACCATTAAATAAAAAAACTCTGTCCAGATTAAATTAAACCAGATACGACAAAAATGTTGTCATAACACTTTTAAATTTCTTCCATACACTACTTTTCCCATCGTGAGGAAACAAAGTATAATCACCAGAATCACTCAATAATTTTCTTTTAACAGTATTTTTGGAGACGGTAAATGCTGGATTTTTTTCTAAATTTATTGTTGATTTAGTTGTATTCTCTAAGAAGGAATAATAGAATTATTTGAAAAGTCATCATCAATAGAGCTCACCGAAGTTGAGTTCAAGAACTCGCGAATTTGTTGAGAATTATTCATGATTCTAAAAAAAAACAAGACTAAAATGTTTTTTTTTAACTATAATTATTTTTATTTTGTGTGTAATTGAGTTAATGATTTATGATTAATGAATCACTCTGTATAGGCTATAAAGAAAATTCAATAACTCAAAAATACGGGTCTAGGATATTTCGCCGCTGACCGTTTCGCCGCCGACCCATTTCGCCGCTGACCGTTTCGCCGCCGGACATTTCGCCGCCGGACATTTCGCCGCGGACGTTTCGCCGCCGGACACTTCGCCGCCAGACTCTTGATATATAAATTTATTAATAACGCCTTTTCGAAAAATTAAAATTATTTTAGCCTAATCCTTCATTGCACAAGTCCTTAAAATCCAGTATAATGATAAAAAAATTAATTATTTATATAATGTCACAAATTATTTAAATTTAATTTGTACTTAATTTAATTATTATAATTAAATGTTATCATAATTATAATATTCATTGTTATTCTTTCATTTTAACAATTAATACTATTGAAATAACTATATTTCAAGCATACTAATGCTCTTATTTATATGTATAGATAATAACAATGTGGCAGTGTTAGGAAAGTTCCTTTTTAAATGGAACTCGTTCCGTTCCCCGTTCATTTTCTAAAATATGAACTCGTTCCAGATCCTAGTTCTTTATATTAAGAAGGAACTTGTTCCAGATCCAGTTCCTCCAAAATAAGAACTCGTTCCACTCTTCGTTCCTTTTATGTAACCAAGTTATTTAAAAAATTGTTTTTATTTTTATTATGAATTTTTAGATTATATGGCATATTTAAATCAAAAGGCATAAATAAATATGTTTAATAATGTTTTATAACTAGTAACTACACAAAAACAATTACATCATTCTGTAATAAAAATGTATAACTGTACTACTGATCTTTTAAATCAGAATATAAATAACTACTATAATAATTAAAATGCTACACATTACAGATGTAGTTTTAAATATTATAACATTGTAATAATGCATATTTCTTATTATTAGACTTATAGCTGTCAACTGTAAAAAATTTGTACAGTTAACAACTATTTACACTATTTACAACTACTTATTTACAGTTTTACTATTTAATAGTATTATATTAAAAGTATTTTTAGTATTTAACACACACAATATTAATTACAAATTTGAGAATTATTAGTCCTATTAAAACAAAACAAAATTTTCATTTTATATACCAAATTTGTTTTATTTTAATAGAACTAATTTTTCAAAAAGTGAATCACTCAATTTATGGCGTTTTTGTGTCATCACATTGAAACCTGTCGAAAACAGTCGCTCAACAGGAGCACTAGATGGAAGGGGTGTGTTAAATTCTAAAAATACTTTTAATATTGCAGGGTACAATAGTAACACAGTCAAGTCTTTCGACTGGCATTTTAAGAATAATTCTAACTCTTCAATACGAGAACTTGAAGTTGTATTTTTCTCTACTGGTAAACATATATTAAATATTTACTGTATACCTACATGTGATAATAACTCTATTTATAGTCAATTGATTCATTTAAACANACATGTGATAATAACTCTATTTATAGTCAATTGATTCATTTAAACATCCTACGATCTCGGTTGGGTATATAGGGGACTTCCATTGTCAAAAGTCAACTAAAAATACCTTAATATTTTAATGTCTAGATACGAAGAAAACTACACTTAAACATGTTTATAAAAATTTTTAGGAACTGTAATTTCCATTCACGTTCCTTAAAAAATGGAATTTGTTCATTTTCCTCGTTCCTTTATTTTAAAAGGAAGCAGTTCCTAGCATCGTTACTTCAAAAAGAACTCGTTCCAGGAATCCGTTCCTTTTGGAACTAGTTCCTTCTCAACACTGCAATGTGGTATAATTATTAATTATTAATGTATATACTTGGCGTCATATCATAAATTAGCATACCCAGTTTTTGCAAATTTTGTATATTTTTAATGAACAAAGTATAAAATACTCAAAAATTCTGTATCCTCTTGGATAGCTATTTAATCATTTTAGAAATTAAATAATTAAAACAACTTGAGTCAATGTTATAAATTGTTATTTAAAAAAAAATTGTCACTTTTAAAATAAACTATTCAAGCAATTTAAATGGTACATATGAGTATCGAATCGTATGGATGCGAATAACAAGATACTTTATTATTTTGTATTATTATTTATTGTGTATATGATATTTTGTTTAACAATAAATCAAAGTTTTAGAATGGTTAATTAGGGTAATTTTTGTTTTAAGAATACAACATATTAATTACTTTAATTTATTCTTATAATAGTTGTAATCGTATATTTTAAAATGAACTCTATTAGACTACCCAGTAGTATTTTGAATATTTTAAATATAAAATAATACTATATTTCAAGATAGAAGTGTGATATCCGTAAATTAATTTATTAAGTACAAATTATTTTAATATCGATAAAAAGTTGAGTTGACGAGTGAATGAATTATACTATTTCTAAACATACAGTAAATTAATAAAAAAGGAGTGTACCCATTAACCGTGTAAACTGGATTGGACCAGTAGCAACTGACTAGTGGTACTCAGGCAAGTTACCACAAAATTTGGATAGCTTATTACTCGGTGGCTATTGGTCGTAGAGTCACCGAGTTTGCGGTGGCAATTTTAGTTTTAAGTCCCTTAAGTAGTACGCTATCACTAGAAGAGTGCAAAATTTCTTCCCAGGGTTCGTTTTTGAATCCTTCCGAAACTAAGTACACCTCAGAAATACTACAGGAAACGGATCCCACGACCTACCTAACATATTATCTTTTTTCATTATTTCAACCTTATTTAAAAATAAACACATTTCACTTGAAACATCAATAACATATTTATATTGAATATTGATAATATTATTATAATATATATACACACAAGTAATTATTTTTTTTAAATGTTCAAAGCCATATTTATTATGTTTTATTTATTTGATTATTGTAATAATAAAAAACAATAAAAAAATATATAACTTTAGTAATATGATCAAGTAGTGATAGAAGTTTCAAGCTTATTTAAAGCAATACATTTTATTTAAATTAAAAAATTATAGTATACATTGTTACTCAAATACTCATTATTTAAATGATTTTTATTAAAAAACTTGTCTATGATAATACATAAATAATATTATCTATGCATTGTATATTATATCATAATATATTGTTGCTTGGTGTGTAATTTCACATATGATTTTGAATACTCAGTTTATAGCATCATATTGTGTAGAAATATATATTTTTCTCCATTCTTAGTAGATGTTAAGTGGATACCTTACACTAAATATTCTACACCTTATCAAAACAACATCAAGAAATTTTTTATTTGTAATTGGTATTTTTAATAATAAAAATTGATCACTTATGGCAAATATCTTTTAAAATTAAAACTATATTAAAAATATTTAACTCCAAAAGCCACAAAAAAATTATTAAAAAATTGCGAATATGTATTCGGAAAATGTTACCATTATCAACACTTAACAAGTACTTATTTTGTTTAATTCTGAATGGTGTCAAAGCCAAAATTATCACATATCTATAAACTAAATTTTACATAGAAATACTAATATAGAAACATCCATTTAGTTAAAATAGAAAAGGAAACTTTATTAGATAATAATAATAGGTTGGATTGGGGTAGTAAAGATATTTTAAAATATACAGATTATTACATAACATAATAGAATCATTTACTTTGTTAAAATTGTAAGTACAAAATACATTCACAAATTAATTACAATAAAATTAAGTTAATATCATACTGTATATTATTAATAAACAATAAGATATACATTTTTAAATATACAACTATATAACAGTTATAAAATATATTTAAGAGTCTCGTAGATTTTACCAGTACCCTAAACCCTTTTAATAGTTGGAGTTAAGTCAGGTAAATTATTTTAAATTCTGAATCATTTAAATGTTGAAAATGAATATTTATATAAATAATTTCAATACAACATATAAATGTGACACAAGTTTAAATTCATATAAACTAAAATACTTAATGAATTAGGAACTTAAAGGTGTGCATCTATTCATATATTTATAATAATAACCTACTGAAACATTTATAACAAAAGATGAAACACATTCAACTAGCGATGATTTTCCAGACTTTTTGTTTGTTTTCATTTGAGATTTAGTTAGTACTAGATATGGAATCAATAGAAGTTTCAATGCGTAGCTTGTTCTAGTATCTAAATAAAAATTAATTTAAATATGATTTGTATCAAAAATTAAAATAGTAATAACAACTAAAATATACAACTAATAATTTAAAATAGATTTTGGAGATTCATACATTTAAATTTTACATGTTAAAATAGATGAACTACAGTGACTCACTTATCATGCACTACTTAATTAAACAAAAAATAAAAATATTAATTTCTTTTAGTTCAAAATCTAAAAGTTATTATTAATCATTAAACAAAGTAATTTTCTTAATTAAATTATACCCTGTAAAATAACATATATTATGAATTAACTTTTGTAAGGAAATATACTAATGAACATATAGATTAAACAAAATATAAATGAAAACACAATTGAAATTAATGGATTAATACTTAGCAGAGCTGTGAACTATATTTATCACTTATATATAAGTATNTTAATGGATTAATACTTAGCAGAGCTGTGAACTATATTTATCACTTATATATGAGTATTTCCAATACACAAAGTCTGAGGATTATTTATAATAAGTTAATAAAATGGCATAACATTTTCTTTATAAAGACTAATTTAATCCCAGGACTTATAATTATGTCTCTGGTTAAATTACAATATTATCTTTTAAAATAAAGGTGCATAAAATTCACAGGATAGATGATTAATAATTATACAATAATAACTTACATTCAGTTGTATAGTATCAAGTTGTTTTAATAAGTCATTAGCATAATTATCTTTCACTAAATTTCTATGTAAGCTCAATAAGTTATTTGAAAACAAAATCCACTTTTTAATAAAGTTTAGCCAATTATGTTAATAGTTTTTTGTTTCTGGATATTTCATAAAAAAATCTTCAAAAAACCTAAAACAAAAATTTAAATAATAAGTAGTCACAACACATTGCTTTTTTTTATAGTTTTAACCAGTATCATATTTGAAAATAAAAAGTAAAAAAAGTTGTTGATGATTTGATAGAAATATTACCTAAATTTTAATTTAAATATTAAAACATGCATTGATTACTATATTATATAAAAAATACACATAGATAATAATATTAATTACTAATATTTATCATTTTTTTTTTCTTACCAGATTATATCCTTTAGGACTACATAAAATAGGCCATGATTTAAAATTTTTAGACAAATGACGACCAGTAATGCTATTTTAAACCTCGAATTTCAGCCATTCTTATTTCCAGTGTTATATGTAGTGTTATTACCGCAGATATTGCCCAGCAATTTCTCTTAAACGGGTTACTTGGAAACTCGAGTACCATTTTTGACTAATGCCATTCGATAGGATATTTTATAAGCTTTAATTTGGTGTATAATTATTGCCTGGACTCGTCTCGGAACTTTGTCAAAAGTACAAAAAACCTGTCGCAAGTCTGAGAATATGTAGGGTTATTACCTCAGATATTGCCCAGCAATTTCTCTGAAACGGGTTACTTGGAAACTCGAGTACCATTTTTGACTAATGCCATATAAAAATTACTATAATTTTTATAAGTTTTTTTTGGAATATAATTTTTAAAAGAATACCCTTCGTATTTTTTTCGAAACTACTTTATAATAAAACGTATATTTTAAATAAGTGGTGCCCTCTAGCGGTGTATTTGAGTTTTATATCTGATTTGGAATTGCTATATAGGAATTGCTAACTTCATAGTCGTGTTATTTTTATAATCTATGCCCATGATAAGTCATCAAAGCATTGAAAAATGTACTTTCTCCCAGAAATATATCAATATCAAAGAGTTTATAAAAAAAATTAATATCTCTTAACCATGAAACTAGCATCGTATATGCTTGTCATTGTGATAAGGGGAGATGAACAATACATAAAATTTTCGAATTCAATTTGTGGCTTCTGTTACACTTATTTATTTCATTTTTAGTAAATTCTGTTATTCCAGTTGTTATATTTTTTAGTTTAAAAATTTCAATCACTATGTCAAGTAATGCTCCTGTAGATCCTGTAAGAGAAAAAATTCTCCAAGAAAATCGAAAGAAGCTTATTGAACACAAAGAAATTGCTAGTAAATTAAAAGGAAGTATGTTTATACAGTTTAAATCAATTTTTTATTCAGACATTAAAATAGTTTTAAAATATAATTAAACACAGGACAAATTTTATTTAATTATATGTTTTATTTATTCTTTTATTGCATATAACTTGTAATAAAAATGAATGATCAACTTATGATTAATACTATTAAAAATAAAATTAATTAAAATAAAAAAATGCTTAACTTTATAATGCACAACAATATTCTGAGAACACTATGTAATTATATAAAATATATATTTAACTAATTCTTGTTTTGATAATTTTTATGGCTTTTAAAATTATGTTTTTCATATTTTTTGTTAAAAAAAATTTTTTTGGTTACATTTATTTACATCATTGTTAATTCTTTTAATTTATAATTCTTAGTGCGAGAACAAGCTAAAGAGCTTACTAAGCAATATGACAAATCTGAAAATGATTTAAAAGCTTTACAAAGTGTTGGCCAAGTAATTTCTTAAATATTAAAAGATAAAAACTTGTATATGTATATATATTTTATGAATATTGTTTGTTATAGATTGTAGGTGAAGTACTGAAGCAGTTAACTGAAGATAAATGTATGTATATGATTTTTCTATAAATTTTTACTAATTATATTAATAAGTTTTTACTATAAAAATGTTATGAATTTTTCTTGTAAATCTATGATTATAAATGTTGATATTTGATTCTTTGTTAGTTGTGCAACTACATTAAATAAGTACATAATATATTCATTCCATACATTTCAAGTAATTTGTGAACTTTGTATGTTCAGATTAACTTTGAAATATTTACGATTCTCTCCAATATGAGTGTACAAAGAGAACCGGTCTAACTGATAATTCCTACAACTTTTGATACAATTAACACAGCCTAAGAAAAGAATGCATAAATTATAAAAAAAATTACAACAACGTTAATTGTATCAAAAGTTGGAGAGTTAGATCCCATGTATATTTATGATCTCTTCGGAGGTCATATATATTAAAAAAAGTTTTATTAATATGTATTAATACATTTATTTTATTTTATCTTTAACTGAACTAAAGATCTTTTTTAAGGTTTTTTTATTTAAATCAATTTATTTATTTTCCTTAAATTTTATTAATATTCATGTTTTATTCCATATGATATTTCAAGTGGTAAAAGCATTTGACTAACTCTTTTTTAATAAACTGTGGACTTATATATATATAATTTTTTTATTTGTATCTTTTGTCTATAAAAACAGCTTAAAAAGTAATTAGATATTATTTAGTTATTGTAAAAGCAACAAATGGTCCACGTTATGTAGTTGGATGTCGCAGACAGTTAGATAAAGCAAAACTTAAAGCAGGAACTCGAGTTGCATTGGATATGACTACATTGACAGTTATGCGATATTTACCTCGTGAAGTGGATCCTCTAGTTTATAAAATGTCTCATGAAGATCCTGGCGACGTTACATACTCGGCCATAGGGGGTTTATCGGAACAAATCCGTGAGCTCAGAGAAGTATGAAATTAATTTATTTAATTAAAATATTATGTTATGTATTATCATTAAATTTTTTATAAAAAAAATACTAAATTTTCAAGGTTATTGAACTACCATTATTAAATCCTGAACTATTTCAACGTGTTGGTATCACTCCACCTAAAGGTTGTTTACTCTATGGTCCTCCAGGAACAGGAAAAACATTATTAGCCAGAGCTGTTGCTAGCCAGTTAGATGCTAATTTTTTGAAAGTAATAATAAAAAACTTTTTTCTTTTTTGAAAGGTGTTGTGCCATGAAGTGTCAATATAAATTATGGCATTATTTTTTTAAATTAGGTAGTATCAAGTGCTATTGTAGATAAATATATTGGTGAAAGTGCTAGGCTCATACGTGAAATGTTCAATTATGCTAGAGATCATCAACCTTGTATTATTTTCATGGATGAAATTGATGCTATTGGTGGTCGTCGATTTTCTGAAGGTACTTCAGCAGATCGAGAAATTCAAAGAACACTAATGGAACTTTTAAATCAAATGGATGGTTTTGACTCTTTAGGACAAGTATGTTAAATGAAAATGTAATAGGTACAACTATTTGTCTATTAAATTTTACAACTTTAACCTTAATTAAGGTTTATTCAGGTCATAATAATATTGAATCATTTTTGATTTCATGGTTATAATTTATATTTATATTGTTGACAAATATCTTAATAATTGTGTTTTAAAATAATTTATTATATTTCTGATTCTATGTTTTGGTACTAATTTAAATATTGCTAACATTTATTTAATAAAATTTAGATTCTATGTTAGAAGACTTGTGAGAGGGTACAATTGTATTAAATAAAATACATCATTCATTCNAAATATTGCTAACATTTATTTAATAAAATTTAGATTCTATGTTAGAAGACTTGTGAGAGGGTACAATTGTATTAAATAAAATAAATAAATAAAATTTTTGAAACTGATAATTTTTATAAAATGAATAAGTTAAATGATTAATTGTTTGATTGTATCAATAATATTACTATACATTTTGATCATTAAGATAATAACACTTATTTAATTATTTTTATAGGTTAAAATGATAATGGCAACTAATCGACCAGACACTTTAGATCCAGCATTATTAAGACCTGGACGTTTAGATCGCAAAATAGAAATTCCTCTACCAAATGAACAAGCTCGGCTAGATATTTTGAAAATTCATGCAGCTCCAATTACAAAACAAGGCGATATTGGTTTGCTGTTAATTATTAAAATAATGTGTACTGTGTTATTAAATTATTTTTATTTCAGATTATGAAGCTATTGTAAAATTATCAGATAACTTTAATGGTGCTGATTTGCGTAATGTTTGTACAGAAGCAGGACTCTTTGCTATAAGAGCAGAAAAAGATTACGTAACTCATGAAGATTTTATGAAAGCTGTTCGTAAGGTATCTGATAACAAAAATTTAGAATCAAAACTTGATTACAAGCCTATATAATTAAAACATATTTGATGTAAATTATGTTGATAACAAGTTTGTATTTAATAATAATATTATTTTCAAAAGTTAATGAGATAAAATATGTTAATAATACAATTTTTAACTTAAATCTACACATTTTTTGCTGTTGTTTAGTTCATTATCAGAAATCATAATTATAAAAAGAATTCTTTGAAAATGAAATATAAAAAAACTATGAAATTATGTATATCATTTATAATTATATTATTTAATAAATTTATTATTTGAAAATGTCATTAATTCAATTAACTAGATACTTTAATTAAATTGATCATATTGAAACCATTAATTCGAAACACTGACTTCTGTGTTCATTTAAATTAAATCACACCTAACAAACCGTCACTTTCAAGTCCAACATTCTTCTTCTACAACTAGTATTACAAAAATTAATGTTGGTGTTCCCCAAGAAGGAATTTTATCTCCCTTACTTTTTAATATTTACAGTTTTGATCAGTGCATTCTTCAACAAACTTCAAATATTCTGATAACAAAGCCTTTATGTCCATTAGCGAAGACCCATTAACTTTATTCTTTAACTTGCAATTACATGTTAACCTCATGTCTGAATGGTATGGAAAATAGAGAGTTAAAATTCACACATCAGATACGGTCAGGTACTTATGAATCATTTTAATAAGTGACTAACATGGAGTCATCATATTCACAATACATAAATAACCCTTAATAAACAAATACTCATTCTAATTCTGTTTTTAAATTAAAAATATTTTTACCAGTCTAAATACTAAACTTTTATTTTGGAAAACACTACTCAAACCTATTTGGACTTACAGACTGCAAAAATTCAAACTGAAATAGAATACAAAATATAACACTTTGACAAATCTCCAATGCCCAACATATGTCTCTAACTTAACCCTTCAAAATGATTTTGCTATTAAAACTATTAAGGAAGACACACACACTTATTATTAACGTTTCTCTAAATGTCTTCAAAATCATCCTAATCCCTTAATAAAGGATCTGTACATCTCCACACTCCCAGGAAATTCTCGCCGTAGCCTAAACAGGAAGTAGTGTCATGATTTGTTGAAAACTCGTTAGTTGTATTAATTTAAAAATAAAAACAAATAAATAAGTAACATCTAAATGACAAGTATTGCTGATGTGAGATTCTTATCCAGTTTACATGTCATATATTTACCCTTATCTTATAAGCTAATTGTATAAATTGTTTATTTCAAATAAAAAAAAAATCCAAACAATAACATGTAAGTATCTTTAGAAATAGTTTCTTAATTCAATTGAATTGCAAAAAAAAATACAATTTTTGATATTACATTAGCAATCTTGAACATAGACAAGTATACTAAGTAACTACAAGTTGATCTTGAACATCAACCAATTATTTCAATACCTATGTTTATATCTGATTAATTCTAAGATTAATGTTCTCTTCACATATGTACTTAAAAATAAAAAAATTTTGAAATGTTTGATAAAATTTAGATTTGTCCTGGAAAAAAGTATTTACTAAAAAATTGAATGTATATTTATTATTATTTTAATTAATTGTATTAATTATACAATAATCATTTTTTTTAAGTACATTTTATAAGTATGATGTAGAAATTGAAGGCTCATATTTTAATAAACTCCATTTGTTAAATAAATAAATATGGTTTATATTTAATAAGAGTTCCTAAAAAGATCATATAGAAAACATATTAAAATAGATAAATTAATTTTGTCATGGTAAAAATAAAAAAGTTTAATAATATTGTTGTTATCACACATGTGTCTTATCAATGGTGGTGTGAAACTATTTTCTAATAATATTGACCATTATAGTTTTTATCCGGTTGCGTTTATCATATTTTTCAATGGTTTTTACAAGTTACATATTTAATAAAATAATATTGTGTTATATTTACACTTCATAACTAATGTAATTTTTAAGAGTTTTTTTTAAAATAGTTGCATATTAAGTAAATTTTATTTTATTATACTATTTATACAAATATCTTAAAGTTAATTAAAAATTTAGTGAGTTAATTTTATTATAATAAATTATTGTTTTTCAAAATATTTTTTTTGTTATTTTAACTGGTTTTTATACCTGTGCTTATAGTTTTCAAATATTTAGTCTTTTTAGTTTATTTTTTAAATAAAATTATATATTTTATTTTTGGTTAAATTATAATGATTTTATAATATCTGTAATATTTGAATGGTTATAAAGTATTTTTTGGAGTAATCAAACCATAAAATCTACTTATAAATTAAAATAAATTTGTTTCAAATGCACTAAATTTTACTACAATATAACTTATATAAGCCAGAACTCAAGGGAAGTAATTTTTAAAAACTGTTTAAAGGTTTTTGAATTACTACATTTTCTGTTATCTAAGTTTCAAGGAAAAAAAATTAATTAAATAGTTTTAAGAATTTATTATAATTATTTTTCATTGACAGAATTAACCATAGATAAGTAACCAATTAATCCCATTATACAGTTTAATTTTAATGAAGTGATAATAAATATATAATAAAAGCAATACATTTAAATTGTCATAATTCATCTAGATAAATAGCTAATAACTTATAATAATCAATAAATAACATCTTAAAGTTTTAGTTTTTCATTAGAGTAATTGGTATTTTTCAAGGAATCAGAATTGATTTCACTTTATTGAAATTTTGACCTATCAAAATTCTACTGTATAGTAATTTTAACAATTTTATTGTGTGCTAGGTTTGGGAAATTTATAATAGTTTCGAAATTATTCACTATGATATTTTCTATAAGCATATCTTAGCTAATATTTAGGATAGAACATTAAAACTATACAGTAATAAAATGTAATTTTATTTTGTACTAGAGTAATACACATCCTTTCTAATTTTAGTATAATTTATATGTTATGAATTTTGAATAATTATACTACATTTGAAAACTTAATATTTATTTGTATATTCCAATGTCAAATTGTACTTATTTAACATAAGTAAACAACATAAATAAAATGTTTTAACAAAAAAATTATCAAATATCTTATTTAAAATCTTATAAGCCTCTTTAAACACTCATTCAAATTATTTTAGATTTAGATTTCTTGCGACAAAATAGATATATTGTTAATTTTAGTATATTGTATACATGTATTTTATTGATTACAGGATTGTTAGAATTGCTTGCTGGTTTCATCTGGATGATAATTTAAAATCTGATGTTCAAAAATTAATGTTACGCTAAATCAAAATTGAATAATGGAATATAGTTCTCAATTAATGTTTGATGTTATAGTAATTTTACTCTCCCAAACTATATTTTTCATGTGTGGGTGGGTATATTTTGTTAAACAATTGTTTAAGAATTATGAAGTACATCATAAAACAATCCAACTTATATTTTCTATTACATTTTGTCTATCATGTACAATGTTTGAATTGATTATATTTGAAATTATTGATGTTTTAGTTCCTACTTCACGTTACATTTTTTGGAATCTAATTCTTTATAAGATGTTATTTATGGTTGTTGTTCTTATACCATATTACTTATGTTACTTTACTTTGAGTAATATGTATCCATTTTTTCAAAGGAAGGTTGGAATTGTAGCATTTATAATTTGGGTTCTATACTTAATTTTGTTTTGGAAAATTGGAGATCCTTTTCCAATGTTACCCCAAGAAAAAGAGGGTCATTTATTTATTGAAAACTGTATTAGTAGAATTGGCGTTATTGGAGTTACAGTTATGGCACTATTGTCTGGTTTTGGTGCAGTTAACTATCCATATACATCAATGGCTTATTTTATAAAAGCTGTAACAGAAAATGATGTGATGAATTTAGAAAAACAGTCGTTACAAACAATGGATGTTATTGTAGCGAAGAAAAAAAAAATTTTACTTGCTGAAACTAATGCTGGAATTAGTACTTCATTTGGTTTTATGGACATTTTTAAAAGAGCCAAATCAAACATATCCAGTGATCTTAAAGCTCTTAAAAGTGATGTAAAAGCATTAGAAGAACTTAGTAGACATTTATTTTTAGATATTCATGATTTACATAATACTTTAGAACGCAGTGCCTGGGCTAAAACTTGGAAAGGGAAATATTTTAATTTTCTAGGTTATTTCTTTTCAATATATTGTGTATGGAAAATAATTATATCAACACTAAATATTATGTTACAAAGAGTTGGGAAAAAAGACCCAGTTACAAGAGGAATGGAAATTTTGATAGAATGGGTTGGTATTGATATGGATGTGTCATTTTGGTCACAATATATTTCATTTTTACTTGTCGGCTGTATTGCATTCACATCAATTAGAGGTTTATTACTAACATTAACTAAATTTTTTTATGCACTTTCAAGCAGTAAATCGTCAAATATTATAGTACTAATTTTTGCTCAATTAATGGGTATGTATTTTGTTTCTTCTGTGTTATTAATGCGTATGAATATGCCTGCTGAGTATAGAGCAATTATAACTGAAGTACTTGGAGATTTACAATTTAGTTTTTACCATAGATGGTTTGATGTTATATTTTTAGTAAGTGCTGTATCATCGATAATGTTTCTTACATTTGCTCACAAACAAAGTAAAGTAGATCCCTCACACATTCTATAACTAAAATGTTTGTAAATAAAAATATGTGATTGTAATTTAAAATATTATGCATAAATAATTGTTTTACTATACATTTATTGGAAAAATGTCTTGGTTGTAAAATATACGATTATAAATCACATTAGTAATGTTCTTTTATCATTATTGAGTTGAAAGATAGTGATGTATTGGATATAATGATTTCCTAATTGATAGTTCATGTTTATTTTACTCAAGTTTATAAAAAAATAGTATTTTTTCATACTGCTTAACGGAGCCATTACAATTATAGAAATAATTTACATTTTTTAATATGTATGGTGGTTATTACTAGTGTAAAACTAAATTTTGATAAATCCGTTTCATCCAGATTCCAATCTGAGTACAATCTGGATCATAATTATTAACTTACATTTTAATTATTGTATCTTTTATAATTTTAATAATAAAAACAAATTAAGAAATTTTTGTGAATTATGATTAATTATGCAAACTGAATTTCACGATCAAGTCAAACTTAATGGAATATCTGAATCTATTACTGAGCACTAGTAGCATAATTTTAACTAGAAACGTATCCCTCTTCTGCTAACTATTAAAGCGGCCTAGTACAGGTTGAAAATAGTTAAAATTATGAATTTTTATACGTTGTAATCGCCATATTTACCCTTATCCTTAAAGGCATATATAGCTGTCCTTAATAGTTAATCCCTAATCATAATTAAATGATTAGGTGCTATTGCTATTATTCGTGTAACTTTCACCAAATTATACAAGATGACTTTTTTAATGCTAGCCACTCGATTTCTCTTAAAATAATAATTTGTTTCTGTATTTTGTTAGTTTCATTTGTATGTTCATTTATTTAATACAACATGATCTAATTAAGAAAATAACTGATTGATAACAACTTTTAAACCAATGATTCGGTAGATATTCATAATTTTGCATCTAAGCAGGAAAATGAGAGCGGGCGAGAAATAACCAATGATAAAAATAGCAATATTCTTGCTTCACTTCCAGTCTATATTAAAAATGCAATAAACTTCAAAAGTATTATAAAGATTAGTTTATACTAAGTTGTGAATCGACCAGTCATTTTCTTAATTAAATCATCTATTGTTTTGTAAGCTAGTTAAATATGTATATTACCATTTAAAAAATTAAGTTGACTCCCATTTAAGATATAACAGATGGATCTAAAAATTAATTTAAAACAGATAAATAGAGATACATGTGTAATTTGTAAAATCCAAAAAAGAATTTTCCAAATAACTTTTTATTTTTAACATAAATCGAGTGGCTAGCGGTTAAAGAATCACTCTGTATACATGAGTATATAATTTGTATTTTGGTGATTGGGTTTAAGTCTTGCTCAGGACTTAATATTAACCAGAATACTAAATGACATTTTTTTGCGTGAAGTGCAAGGTTCCTATGTTAAGGGGATTAACTTTCCTTAACGACGGTGCTATTAATTTATGGTAAAAATGATGAATAGGTGACATATAATAAAATTTTTGGGAGATCTAAACTAATATTTCTATTTAAATTTTAATTATTTTATGAGAGATGCAACAAAATTAAAGGGAGCTAAGCCCCTCTACATACCTTAGCTTGCGCTTGTGATAATTAATAATGAGTTAAGTTTATATTAGCATTTTATAAAATTACCCTATACAACATAAATACTTATACTTTAAGTATTTAAACCTTTTTTAGTTGTTATTATAAGTATAAATTTATCTAGCATGCGAAATAACAATTTAAAAATTGTTCAATATACAATACATATAAATATATATATTTCGTGTTTCATGTTAGAATATTAGTGTGTAGTAGTATCGTGTCATATATTTAGTATACATTCATAAAAAAACAACTGTACCTGCCATAAAAAGTATTGAACTCAAAACAGATTTACAAAAACATGGAATATGCTCAAACGTTTGTTTAATTCAGCCGTTTCTATATTTAATTTCCAAAAAACTTCTTTACACTTAATTTATTAAAACAATGAATATGGTAAGTAAAGTTATTTATAATTATTATAATACTTAATAAATAATGACTTCATGATTATGATATATCTTTCCCATTCGGAAACTTTAGTAAACTATTTGAAGTTATTAGTTTTTTTAAATGAGGCTTAAGATATTACATTTGAAATAATAAAATGTTCAACATAATGTTTACATTAAGTGTGTATTTAGATTTTTTTTTATGTGGGGGTTTATTTTTTTATTATTTTGTAATAAGTATTATTTTTGACAACCTTATAGTTTTTTATTAAAGAAGTAGGTCATTGCAGGAAAGAAAATATTGTCGCTCTAGTTCCTCTATAAATACGCTCATGATTTATGTGTGTTATTAATGGCATATTTAAGATTTATTTTCCTGAAAAATATAAGTTAGATGTCATGAAAATTTATGAAAGCATAATATAATTGTAATAAATATTTTATTTTACTTTATTTGCTCATAACTTCCTAATTTAAAATATGATAAGCATAAAGTTATTAACGCCTAGAATAAAGTCCTAATCAACTTACCGAAACAGACTATAACTAGTGGTGGTCTTATGATAACGCCATGGTTGGGGATAAAATTTATTGTATAGCTATACAATAAAAATCATTGTGGAGTCTCAATCCCAGAGCTTTTTTATTTGTATTACTATATCAAAATGTTATAGTTTATTTAATATGCGTAATTGGCTTTCTTTTTTTTATGCCTACTTCAAATATTTAATTTATTTTATTAAGGCAACCTTTTAAGCTGTACAGGTTTTCCCAAAAGACTATATAGTCACTATAAGGAATTTCTACTAGATATTTTGTTGTAATATGACATTGCCGTATTACATAGTATCTCGTTCTTTTAGTCTCGATACGAAGCCAAAAACCAGGTAATAATTTTTCTATGTGTTATTTTGCGTCTATTACCACTCATTTTCAGCTTTCACTGGACCGATTTTGATGAACAACACGTCAAAAGATTACAAATTATCTCTAGCCGTAGACATTATCCTCAAAATTTTTTTAAAATTTCTCTCATTCCTCGTAAATAGTGAAAATCTCCCCCACAATTACGAATTTAAAATCGGTAAATTTTCACATTTTTTAAATCTTTTTTTCTAAAATTTGCCATAACATTTTAAAAAATTAACAATTTAATATAATTCTTGTTTATATTGAATCTTTAGATATTTTTCTTTTATTTGATATAAATTTATTGAAAATCTGACCCTTTATATTTTTTTCTTTTAAGTCGTAAAAATTAATTTTAACATTTGATTAAACTTAAATTGCCAATTTTATCAAAAAACAAATGTGGCGAACGTTTACCGATTTAGTAAAAATCATTGCCTGTGACAACAATTTTTTTGCAATTTTTCCTTAATTCTATTTGAGTTAATATAAATTTATTAAAAATTATTTATATTTGAATTAAAAATAGGAGTTAATTTTTCTTTTGAATAATCCACCAATTTCTTAAAATTAAATATTATCTACAAATTTACATGGAAGCGTTTCTTATGATAGTGATTTTAATCACTGTCAGATATCATCTATACTAGTCCTAACTATGCCACATTCATACTGTCCCGTGACTCCACTGTCTTCTTCATCTTCTTCCTCGCCTTAATCCAAACTACTGGGGTTAAGGCCACCCTTATCCTAAACTTCAACTTGACATGGTCTCCCACATCATCTACGCTCACTATAGAAAATAAGTGAGGGCTTAAAGCAGAACCCTGATGAACTCCTACTCTTACCTGAAAACCTCCTGTTACTCCTCCCACACTTTTTACCCTAGTACAAGTGCTATAATAAATATTCTCTATTATATTAATGTACCTTTTCGGACTCCTTTTCTCATTAATGTCCACATTAGAACCTCTCTCGGTACCCTATCATACGTTTTCTCCAAATCTATAAATACCATACAAAGCTTTTTCTTTTGTTTCCTAAACTTTTCTATTAGTTACCTCATACAAAATAATGGCTCCATTGTTGACTTACCAGGCATAAATCCAAACTGTTTTTTAGATACCGATGTCTCATTTCTTATTCTCTTATCTATTACCTTTTCCCAAATGTTCATACTATGGCTCATAAGCTTTATGTCTCTATAATTTCCACACTCCTGTATGTCACCTTTACCTTTAAATATCGGCACCGCAATATTATTCCTCTATTCATTTGGAATTTTCCCCTCTAATAAGACTTTATTTAAAAGTTCCTTTAACACCACCTAATATTTTCCATACTTCTACTGGCACTTCATCTGGTCCTACTGCTTTATTCTTTTTCGTTGATGCCACACTTTCCCATACCTCTTTCTCACTAATTAAATCTACCAGTTCCTCATTCTACGAGATATCCTCTAATGTCTCTTTTGGGTACTCCTCATTCAGTAATTTTTCAAAATACTCTTTCCATCTTTTTTTCACGTCATCATCACTCAAGAGTACCTTATCATCAACACTTTTTATATACCTTATATAATGATAATCTTAAGTCCATTTCTCTTTTACTTTTGCAAGTCTATTGATTTCTTTCTCGCCTACCTTTGTTCCTAGTCTATCGTACCTCTTAAACTTCGCCTTACTTACTGCACACTTGGCTTCTCTGCAGAAGCGTTTATACTCCATCCAATCTTCTCTCCTTTTGCTTTTCTGCCATACTTTGAATTGCTTTTTCTTACTTTCTATGATTTTTTGAACGTCTCCATCCCACCACCGGGTTTCCTTGTTTCCTGGCATTCTACTCTTACTCTTACCAACAATCTCCTTTGCAATATTCTTAACAGAACTAGCAAATCTATTCCACGCCTCATTTATATCTCCTTCGACATTCCACACTGTTCTCTCTTTTATCATCTTGACAAACTCTTTTTCATTTTCCCCTTTCAATTTCCACCAATGGATTTTCGATTTTTCTCCCGTGTTCTTTCTGTTTTTGTATATTCTTTTCCCGGTACACCAAAAATCCATTACCATCAGTCTATGCTGTGTAGTTACACTCTCGTCTGGTATAACTTTACAATACTTTACTCCCATTATGCTGTCTCTCTTCCCGCGACCTCACTGTGCTACCATTTTAGCTTCGATGCGAAGCTGAGAANCAAAATTAACAATTTTAGCTTCGATGCGAAGCTGAGAAGGTATTAATTTTACTATGATGTGTTTTTTTTTTTATTTTTTAAAATTTGATATGCTGTATATTGTTACATTACTGTGTATTTTATAACATTAATTATTCCTCTTCTATATTGTTTTAGTATAAATTTTAGCTTCGATGCGAAGCTGAGAAGGTATTGGTTTTACTAAGATGTGTTTTTTTTTTTTTTTTTTTT